ATGGTTAAAAAAAAGAAACAATGTTCTTTAACAAAAAAATAAAACATAATGGACATATTTAAACTTCCTAATCAAAAGCTTATGAAAGCTGAACTCTCAGAAAAAATCAATCTGTAGCAACCAGCAACGACCTACAAGTGTAATAAGAAAGACCACTCAAACAGGATATTGAAGTCGAAATTACGTTGGATTATCAAGGGCAATATTCTTATTTCAGTATCAACTTGCTAGTGGCATAAAAGTAGCATAAAAGTATAAAGTGCAATGTCACATTTTTTCTTTTCAGCTTTAAAGTTTAATCTTCCAAGGAAAGATTACCAATATTTCATAAATACTGCTGAAAAAATGGGTTACTTACATATAACCTCGTCTATAAATTAAAAGCTTTTGTGTATATAAAAAATCTTTTCTCGTAGCATTTTATTTAAAGGCTGTGTCAAATTCCCAAGTAAATGGACTTTAAAAACATTTTTTTTTATATAAAACCGTTAAGGCCCTCATGCTCTCAAATGTGTTATTTCTTTGCCAGAGCTTAGTGATCTTAAACTTTATTGATGAAAATTAACCAGAAACGCCTGTGATGCTCACTAAAATTTTTATCCTATGTTTCTATGAAATAATATTATAATAATCAGCAACTTCTTATCAAGTAAATCATGACAAGAAATGCAAGCCCTGGGATATTGTATTAACTGGGAGATACAGTGGAAAATGTAGTGGCAAAAAGTTATCTCCCCTTCAAACACTTGAGAAATTGAGGAGTCTTCAAAGTTTATCAGAACATTCTCCGGGAAGATGATGCTGATAATAAGTTCTCAAAAAAGTGTCTAGTAAATGAATTGAAAAATGAAAATTAATACAAAATAACCTATGATTTCAATTCCTTCTAAATGTAATTTGGGAATATCTTTAGGGTTTACTGAACACAGATTGAGTTCAAATTTGATATTTTCTGTTTTGGAATTATTCGGTGTGCCTCTTGATAAGATACTTACATTAGTTGGTTGGTGCTTATTAACATACACATAGTTGCAAATGTATCCATAGCAGCTTGCAGAAGATGGTTCCCAGTAGTTTTTTTTATCCAAAACTAGAACCAAATTTTTATTTTACTCTAAAAATAAAAATCACAACCTTTTCCTCCATTAAACAGACACAAGCACCTCGGTTCCAAGGACACATTCTGTGTTGTAGTAGATGTATTTAAAAATTCATGAAACAAATATTTTAAAAGTTTATAAGTAACGACTAAGGACAACAAAATCCAAATGAGGTCAAAAGCAAACACTTACATATTGGGCCAGGAAATCAATAAACTTTAATTTTGAAACAACTTTCATTGTGTATTTATTAAATTACATATCGGTAAAAGAAAACAAATAGTGTAGTTGGTTGTGCCAAATTTAAATTCATGTTCGTCTAGTTATAAGTACCTTACAAGGTTACTACTTTAACAAGTCTAGAAAAGTATATAACTATAAAGAGATTTAACAGACAAGTGTGTATATATTTCATTGTTTTATTATCATTTAAACAATTTACTGTATAGATAAATACCTTGATACAGTAATAAATTAATTATTAAGAATATTTAAACCAAAACAGTTCTATCCTTTTTTACCTGACAATTAGTATAGGTATGAAATATGATCGACTCTAAGATGTTAAGAGCAGAACTTTCCACAAAGTAGATATTCACACAGACAATGTATTTTTGTGATTATCTACTGACTCTTTAATGGTGTTACATTTTTATTACTGTAACAATGGAGTTGTTTATGATAAAAACATGTGTCTGCTGCATTATCATGTATGCAATTTTGACTGTCATAACTAGCTATAGAGTATAATGCAAAATTATAAGTATAAAATTTAAACTACACCATTTAATTTTTGCCTTCAAATTAAAATTATAAAACTATAGCAAAATGATAGCACAACTTTGCATTTAATTTGATTTGTAAACAAAAATATCAAACACATAATGTCAGTCTTGATGAACCACACAGCATTAAAATACCTGCAGGAAAAATGTGAAAAAATATCCATGTTTTGTTCAAAATCACTCGTTGGAATATCATGTTGATCACATCTGTTTCCCCATTAGTCTGCCAATTCAGTTGATCTTTTATTTTGTATCTAATACAACTCTGCTTATATCAATGGAATGTACTTTATTAATCTGACAGTTAGAGAGCAGTAAATCTTGAAGACTTATAAGAATTTTTTCAAAATGGAATGGCATCTTACTTTAACTAATTTCAACAATTATGTACAGTTTCCAGTTAATCAATCCAAGCATACTCAAGTTAAGGTAGATGTGAACAAATAAGCATCTAGCAGTTAAGTATCCATAACTCCAGAATGACATGCAAGAAAATTTTCAAAATCCTAAGGGAGCTTACTTTTTATCAAAACGAACATTTGTGTTTTGTTTTGGACCCTTTTGACCTCAATATGAACCAATTTGATAGCGGGGCCTACAAATAAAAAATCTAAATACATGGTTAGATTCAGCATATCAAAGAACCTCATATATTCAATTTTTGTTGAAATCAAACAAAGTTAAATTTTGGACCCCAATTTGGACCAACTTGAAAACTGGGCCCATAATCAAAAATCTAAATACATGTTTAGATTCAGCATATCAAAGAACCCCATATATTCAATTTTTGTTGAAATCAAACAAAGTTTAAATACTGGACCCTATCTTGGACGAACTTGAAAACTGGGCCCATAATCAAAAATCTAAACACATGTTTAGATTTAGCATATCAAAGAACCCCAAGAATTCAATTTTTGTTAAAATCAAACTAAGTTTAATTTTGGACCCTTTGGACCTCAATGAAGACCAATTTAAAAAACGGGACCCAAATTAAAAATCTAAAAACACGGTTAGATTTGGCATATCAAAGAACCCCAATAATTCAATTTTTGATGAAATCAAACAAAGTTTAATTTTGGACCCTTTTGACCTCAATATGAACCAATTTGATAGCGGGGCCTACAAAATAAAAAATCTAAATACATGGTTAGATTCAGCATATCAAAGAACCTCATATATTCAATTTTTGTTGAAATCAAACAAAGTTTAATTTTGGACCCCAATTTGGACCAACTTGAAAACTGAGCCCATAATCAAAAATCTAAATACATGTTTAGATTCAGCATATCAAAGAACCCCATATATTCAATTTTTGTTGAAATCAAACAAAGTTTAAATACTGGACCCTATCTTGGACCAACTTGAAAACTGGGCCCATAATAAAAAATCTAAACACTTTGTTTAGATTCAGCATATCAAAGAACCCCAAGAATTCAATTTTTGTTAAAAAATCAAACTAAGTTTAATTTTGGACCCTTTGGACCTTAATGTAGACCAATTTAAAAAACAGGACCCAAAATTAAAAATCTAAATACATGGTTAGATTTGGAATATCAAAGAACCTCAATAATTCAATTTTAGATGAAATCAAACAAAGTTTAATTTTGGACCCTTTTGACCTTAATGAAGACCAATTTGATAACGGGGTCCACAAATAAAAAATCTAAATACATGGTTAGATTCAGCATATCAAAGAACCCCATATATTCAATTTTTGTTGAAATCAAACAAAGTTAAATTTTGGACCCCAATTTGGACCAACTTGAAAACTGGGCCAAAAATCAAAAATCTAAATACATGTTTAGATTCAGCATATCAAAGAACCTCATATATTCAATTTTTGCTAAAATCAAACAAAGTTTAATTTTGGACCCTTTGGACCTTAATGTAGACCAATTTGAAAACTGGACCCAAAATTAAAAATCTAAATACACTGTTAGATTCGGCATAACAAATAAATAAATGTGATCAAAGATTTTACAAATCTAATGCGCCATACTGTGCAATTAAAGATTACTTCTTGAAATTTTTCAATATTTGAAATTTGAAAAAAAAATAATATTTGAAGAATAATTCTTTTTAATTTCTGAAATCTGAAATGAGAAAAAAATTGACCCCCCACAATTTCTTTTTATCCCCTCCCCCTTTTTTCCCCCAAAAAATTCTTTCCCTCAAGATATGGCCATAATCTCAATTCAAATTTCCAATGGAGTTGGCAACCATAATTACCCATTTAAATTTACCATAGTGCTAACTTAATCTTTTTTATAATAGAATTAAAAATATAGTGTCAAATCTTTCATATGGATTTTTTTGTAAAAAAAAAAGATGCAACATTTGCAGATATTTTTACTGGTCTTCCTTTATAAATATGCATTTCTTTAAACATAATTTAAAAGCAGTGTAAGGGAAGTAACCAAAATGTTGTATTTGGATTACCTCCCTTACACTGTTTTAAATTATCTTTATTGTTTATTAACCATTACTTTATACATAATTTAAAAGCAGTGTAAGGGAGATAATTTCAATGATGTATTTGATTTATCTCCCTTACACTGCTTTAAATTATGTTTTGTACTAAAGTATTTGTCCATTAACCAGAACAACCTTGTTTTTCCCCCTTTTTTGCCCCTAATTCCTAAACCGTTTGAGCCATAACCCCCCAAAGCAAATCCTAACCATCCCTTTGTGGTATGGAAACTTGTAGTATAATTTCAGAGAGATCCATACACCGTTCCACAGTTATTGTCTGGAAACTAGAAAATGCTTATTTTTGGCCCCTTTTTGGCCCCTAATTCCTTAACTGTTGGTACCATAACCCCCAAAATCAATCCCAACCTTCCTTTTGTGGTATTTAACCTTATGGTCAAATTTCAAAAAGATCCATTCACTTAAACTAAAGTTAGAGTGCGAAAATCAACGTCATACCAATATACGACCACAAAATTTTTTTGCAGTCGTATAAAAATTTCACGACAATTGGTTACTGCAAATTTGGGTTATTGTATGACATGTTGACATACAGATTGATGAACAGACTTCTGTATACCATCATCTCTTTGACAGGCATATAAAAAGTCAAGCATGGTATATAATAATAAAGAACTATAACAGACAAGTTTGTATACATTTTATTGTTTTATTATCACTTAAACAATTTTTCTATAAATAAATACCCTGATATAATGATAAATTAAATGTTAGTGAATATTCAAATCAAGCAATTCTAAAAATTTCCAAATATTATGATATAATGTGTTATTGAGGTCTTAGAAAGGGTATATAATGTGACATTCCTGGCTTTGAGTTTATAATCCCTGAGCTGAAAATATTCAGGAAACTGCCGGGGTACAAACAATGTTTTTTTTTTTTTTTACCCTGTAGTTACCTTCGGCTCAGGGAGTATAAACTCTAAGCCGGGAATGTCACATTACATACCATGTCTGAGACCTGAATAACATATAATATTTAAATCAAACAATTCTACAAATTTCAAAATATCTAACAATAATTATAGCTATCAGCTCCAAAGTATGAAATCTGACAGACTTCACAATACTGTAAATTCAGAAATTATTGTGGTTTTTATTAATGCAAATAATGTGACTGGGTGAGTATTACAATAATAACTTGCATTCTAATATCTAACAGATATATATGTAGGCAGTTTTTGCAAAAATCGCAATAATTAATCTCACATTTTTGTTCATTATGCAAAAATCACAATAATAAATGCATGCAATAATTTCTGAATTTACAGTACTAAGCACTAGTTTAGAGCAAAACCGTCCACCAATCATACATTCACACAGACAATGGATTTGGTGAATATCTAATAAATGGAAATACTAGTTCTCTAAATGAGTTGAGCACTTAGTGAGTTGATTTTATTACTAATATATGACAAATTTCCTTATGATGTCACTTAAATGATATTTAATAATGAAGTCAGCCAGTTTTTCTTACAAAAAAAAAGGCAAGTCTCCATATCATGAACCTTGGAATAATATCAGTAAATCTTAGATTTCTAAGTGTAGTTCTTATATGTAACTTAAACAAAAAACAGAATTAAATAACAAACAGTGACAATTAATGAGATCATTCAAATTTGTATTCAATGAATTTAAAGTGTCAGCTATTCAGAATATTCATAGTTCAATGATGTTACTTCTTTATTACAGTGGAGTTGCCATATGACAATGTATGATAAGAAACAATAAGTTTTTCTGTTCTATAGATATACACATGCCATCAACTTCTTGAAATACCTCTAAATTGGAAATATAAGTAGAGATAATTTATTATAAGTCATGCAATTTTTGTATCATGACAATTAACCAATTGTTTTTTTTTTTATTATTATAAAAAAAAGACAGTTTTAAGATTCTGGAACTCATTTCACAAAAACTCTTACGAGAAAAAATACTTGTATTTCATGAACATTTCAGTAAAACTAACTATTTATTGTTACCATTAGATTTTTTGCGAAACAGGCTCCCGACTGCTAATAAAAGTCTGAATAACAATAAAGAACAAATAAATATGATATTACTGTCAACATGTTTTCGGAATAAGCCTCATCATCAAGCATGCAATTTTGACTGTCAAAACAAGCTATGCAGTATAATAAAGTTATGTGTACAAAATTTCAACTACAAAACTACACAATTTGATTTAAGCTTTCAAACTAAAAACTATTAAACTCTAGCAAAATGATCTAATGTGACTCCTTAAAAAATTGGAGATCAAAAACATTATGCAAGATTTAATGAGATTCAAAATAAATACATAGTATTCAAATAGAAAATGAGAAAAAAAAACTTTTTTTTCATCATCACTCAGAAGAATATCATATTTATCACATCTGTGCTTGAGGGGTAGATCTACGTCAAGGGGCCATAACTGTAAAATCACTATAACGTTTATGTCAGCCATTGTCTTGCCTTGCTGATAATCCTGCCAATGTTACATACATATATTCTAAGCTTCTAAGTTACACAGAATATTTTATTTCTGTTTCACATGAATGTTTTATTTCTCTTTTTTTTTAAATAAAAAAAGTCATTTTGAGATTAACAAATGAATTTTAAGAAAAAATATTGACACAGAGATAGGTCTTGAAATACTCAGAAAAAAGACAATCTGATGGACATTGCTTATTTATTCTTCTATTAAAAGTAGTTCCGATCAAACTAACTTAAGCAGAAAACATTAAAATTCTTGATGATGCCGGAAAAGCAACACCTATAACTCACCTTCTGCAAAATTCTGTCGCAGGTGAAACAAAAACTACATTCATTATTCATAATCATATCACAGAATCATATACTATACAAATTATCACTGGAGTAGTACAATGGTATAAAGTTTTATAAGCCAATTTATAATGAGTACAAATATAATGTAAAGTTACAAAAATAAATAAAATCCTAGAAGATTACCAGTATATAGTGAAACTATAATTTGTTCCAAAAAAATAATTCCAACACAAAACAATTGTTTGGATTTCTAAAAACAAAATATTGAGAAATAGAATAAAAACAATAATGAGTCCCACTGATATGATAATATCATTATAGATTTTGGATGTCATAATAAAAAAGGATAATTACAAAATTAAAAAAAAAATTAAAGGATGTTTGCTCCTCTTGTTTTTTGTCAGATATTCAGAATCCCCTGATTGTATCCATGTATTGCCACTAAAAATTTTGCCCCCTAATCCACATAATTTAAACAGCCAAATTTGAAGATCCTATAAAATCCTTGTTATTTTTTTCAAAGTTTTTGAAAAAAAAAGGTGCCAATGTTAAATATATGAAAAATCTAGAGAGCATCATTCCCCACCAAATTTTCAATGGCTTATATTTTGAAAACAAGGACACAGACCCTTCATTTTTTTCTGCTTTTTCAGTTCCTTTATTTATATATTAACAATTTATAACATTCTTGTTATTTTGAAACAGAGTAGCAAACATCCTTAATTATTATTGGGAACATGCACATTAGCAAACAATCTACATACTCTCAATATAAATATTTAACAATCCCCATTAACAAATATAGCAGCCAATCAGATAACCAAACAGTTCTATCATTAACAAATACTGTGTTATTTCAAACCATTGCTGTAAATATGAGTATCACTTATAATGAAACCATATTGGTTATTGTTCTCTGAGTATTGGTTGTAATGTGGTTTTGATTAGTTGTCCCTTTATAACTTTTTGATCAGATTCATATTGTTCTTTCCAATTCCATGAATATCACTTATGGTGAAACCATATTTGGTAACTGTTCTGTAAGTTTTGATTATTATGTAGTTTTGATTGGTAATCCCTTTACAACTTTTTGATCTGTTCATATTGTTCTTTCCAATTCCCTCTGTGAAAAAATAAAACTACTGTAAATTCAGAAAATATTTAAAGGTTTTTATACACAAGTCTCAAGAGTTTTTTATGAACAAGTTACACCAGTTTACCCGAGGTCAATCAGCGCAAACAACGTCATTAAACTATGGGTTTTACCTTGACATAATAACATAAGCGTTATGACATAGGTATTTTACTGGAAAGTGCATGAATTCAAAAGTCGTATATTAATGTGAATAATACTGCTGGGTAAGTATTACAATAATAAACTCACATTCTGATATCTTATATATCTGTACGCAGCTCTTCCTTAAATCGCAATAATTACTCTTGCATTTTTGTCCATTCTTCAAAAATTGCAATATTAGATGCATTCAATATTTCTTAATTTACAGTATTTGTGATTAAGTTTCAATTTCATAGTCTTAACCTTCTGAATTATAGTGTTGGTAATAGAATAAATATATTGAAAACTCTAAATCTTTTTTTTACGTTTTTATAATTGCGACATTTGTGACATGATAGGTGTTGCAAAATTTAAATCTTACAGTTAAATGTATATAGCATAATTTGTATGAAGCATTTTCTGTAAACTAAATAATTAATCTCTCACTTTTTGTTCATTATTTAACAATTATGAAGATATATGCACACAATTATTTCAGAATTAACTGTAATCTATATGATACAAATATTGTGTTATATAGTGCTCAACATTACTTTAATAAAATGCTTTACATAGGAAGAATATGCATGACAAAAACAATTTTCGTCTAAAATGAGCAAATGTAGCTGAAAATAATATAAGACTGTTTCAACAACAAACACAAACTTGTTTGGGGGTTTTAAAGCCCTACAACTTTGTATCTAACTTGGCCTTCCAACTATTTAAATTAGAGCGCCACTGATAAGTCTAATGTAAACAAAATCACATTTCGGGTGTTCAAAATTATAAACCTGGTATCCTTTTTACAAATACTGGATCGATGCCACTGCTGGTGGATGTTTTGTCCACAAGGTTATCACCAACCCAGTAGTCAGCACTTTTGAGTTGACATGGATAATCATTGATTTGTTCATTTTCGGTAAATTTAAGGTTTAAAAATGTTTTCATTTGAGCACCACTGATGCATCTTATGTAGATTAACACACGTCTGGCATACTGGATTATAAGCCTGGTATCTTTGGCAAGTTAAACTTTTGACACAGATATATGTCACACCAGTATGTACTTACCATAGTGATTCAAATGCTAAAATTTGAATGGCAATATTGAAACATGTATACTATGAAAAAGTCAATGGATCATGACAGAGGAGGTTGGTTCAGATAATCTCCATGGAAATGTTAATTAAACTACCAATCAAATAGCAATGACCTACAATTAGTGGATCCCTTAAATCAACAGACATGTAATCAACTTTAACAACCATTAAAACTGCTGGGGTCATCATCTAAAACTGCATATTTAAGGATGTTCGCTCCTCTTGTTTTTGAATTTTTGCCAGATTTTCGGAATCCTCTGGTTTTATCCATGTTTGGCCATTAAATAATTTTGTCCACTAACCCCTACTTTTCTTTTCATAATTTTATTACATATAGTTTGAAAAGCCATATTTGAAAATCTTATAAAATCCTTATTATTTTTTCGTTGTTTTGAAAGAAAAAAGGTGCTGATGTTAAATGTATGAAAAATCTAGAGAGAATCATTTCCCCCCAAATTTTCAAAGGCTTATATCTCGAAAACAAGCACACGGACCCTTCATTTTTTTCTGCTTTCTTGGTTCCATTATTCATATACTATCATTTTATAACAGTCTTTTAAAAAGCTTGTTATTTTGAAACAGAGTAGCGAACATCCTTAAGTCTCTCCTCCATGACTTTGACAAGACAAGACAAAAAATACTTGTTGTAATCCAACAAACTTTAGAGTAAAATTATATGTTATATCACCTGTCTATCAATTCATGTATGGATAATCCCAAGCTGTGAGAGGTTTAAATGTCTCCTTTACTGATTGTATTGAAGCAAATCTTAGTAGATAGTTAGCACCTCCTGCTTTGTCATTGGTTCCTATAAATATAATTGTATGTCATTGGTTCCTATAAATATAATTGTATGTCATTGGTTCCTATAAATATATATGTAGGTCATGTAAACACATTAGAAATGTTGCTTTCATATACATTATTCGTACAGTGTAGGAAAATATAAAATTTATTTGTATGAGCTTTAGAAACAGAAAGAAAAGCAAGGCTAGCTTCTGTTCATAGTGAGTAGAAATAAAATTCACATTTTCATACACTGTACAAATATTGTTTTTATCCTGCAATTTAACATTGACCTTAAATGCAGTTTTTTTACATGTCACCCGTTGAATTGGTTTTTGATTGAAAATAACATGACTTAACCGCGATGAGGACTCCAAATTGAACTGTGTAGCAACAATTATTTGAACTTGACCATATGCTCGCAACAAAAGACGGATACCAGGAGACTATCGTTATAAACGTATACTGTAGAAAGGTCAATTGCAGAATAAATTCTATTACTCCATATTGGATGAAAGCTAACTCAATGAATATTTAGTAAAAATGGAGAAAAAAAAGAAAAATTGGACTAAAAGTTCTTTTACAAAAGTTTCATTTAAAATTGTGTATTGGTGGAAAAGGCGTCACATTTCTTACTTTTATTTGGTGTAGAAAAGCCCTAACTACACAGCAAAAAGTATACTCTTAAATAATGGATGGTCTCTTGTGAGACACTGATTCCGAAAGATAATTCTCTCATCATTCATGTAGATTTAAAATGAAAAATTACCCCCATGACAGGAGTATCATAAGATAGGGGACAGCAACATTCTTTCTTAAGTTCATACCTGATAATCTGCTGCCACCAAATGGTTGCTGTCCTACTACTGATCCCGTTGATTTATCATTTATGTAAAAATTACCAGCACAGTCCCTGAATTTGTCTGTAAGTTCTTTTTTCACTACCCTGTAAAAAAATGTTTGAAATACTGAGGGGCAGAATGACCTTTCAGAATGTCAGGATTGAACCATTTAATTCATAAGATCGTGATAGGGGAACAGACACATTAATCACAGGAATTCATGATTTATTTTCTATGGAATTTGGGATGAGACCCCAAACTTACTTAACAAGATCAATAAAAATTTCTTATCTCTATCACCATAATAACTGTCAAGATCAAGACAATATCAACATTCCTTTTATAACAATAATATTCTTTAGTTTACTTTTACAACATATGGGTTAGGGGAGGGCTGAACGCTTACAAACATGTTTAACCCTGCCAAATTCTTCATGTCCCAAGCCAGGAGCCTGTAGTTCAGTGGTTGTCGTTGGTTCATGTCTGTTATATTTGTATTTTTCGTAAATTGTTTTGTTATAAATTAGGCGTTTAATTTTCTCTCTTAAATTGTTTCATATTTTTTGTCCGGGCCTTTTATAGCCGACTATAGGGTATGAATTTTTCTCATTGTTGAAGGATGTACAGTTGCCTATAATTGCTTACATCCACTTTACTTGAACTTTGGTGGATAGTTGACTCATTGGCAATCATACCTCATCTCCATATTTTTAAATTGATAAAAGGGGAGAAAAGGGTTATATCACATGACCACAGGTTTACTCTACTACATGTGTACCCAGAGGCGGATTTAGGGGGACCAGGGTGCCCAGGCCTCCTTATGGAGCTTTATTTATGGCAAATCCAGACTTATAACCAGTTCCCCTACAAATTTTCCCCCCCTTTTTCAACATCCTGGATACGCGTCTGGTACCAGGTCAGGTTTTCAAGTGTGTATCGTTGTCTTTGATGTTATTTTCTTTCCTGGTGATTTTTGTTGTAATTGGTGCAATTTGCTATAGTGCATAATATCTTATTTTTATGAATTTCTAAAACAAAATTTTACATAAATCAAGTTTTTTATTTCATTTACTTCTGCTTCAACATTCTAGTATTTTTCCACCTCAACAGAACTTATTAGGTGTTAATTCTACAAGTTTAAGTGGAGAATTGATTATTTATTGTTTTCGTGAATCCCAAAACTTTCCTTCAAATGTTCAGTTTTTCAAAATTGATAGCCTTCATACTACAGGTATAAATCATATTGGGCAAATTTATCATAAATAAATCTTTATTTTTTGCGGTTTTTAGTTTCGGTCTTCTTGTTTTCTGACAGGTAATCTGTCATGGATGAACCTTTGCCCTACAAAAATATCAGTATTAAAATAGCTTAGAAATTTCTCTGTTTGCAGCAATATAAGGAATACTTTCTGGTACTAACTCGTCCAAAGCAAAAATTGCTCCTGTAAGCGCAAATGGTGAGGTCTCTTTGAGGATATCAGCTACTTCTTTGTACTGGTCGTCTGGATATGGATAGACTGTCAAGACCGGACCAAAAATTTCCTACAATATAATAATAATAAATGCATATAAGGGAGCTACCATTTGATTTTTATGAGGGGGGCTAGGATAAAATTTGAAAAAAATGGCAGGACAGGAGTTTTGAGTAAAAAAAAAAGGCAGGATGAACAACTTGGCAAACAAATAAGGCAGAATGAGCAACTTGGCAAAAAAAAAGGCAGGATGACAATTTAAGTTAAAAAAGTCAGGATAAGCTAATAAAAAAAAAGGCAGGACCAAATAGAGTGAAAAATAAAAAGGCAGGACAGAGATTACAACTTAAAGAAAATGCAGGACAAAATTTTTCATCCTAGCCCCCCCATAAAAATCAAATCGTAGCTCCCTAATGTTATAAAGGGGCATAACTCGAGAACGGTAACCTCACCCAAATTCAAACTTGATCTGTATTTTGTGGTAATAAGCATTGTGTATTAGTTTCATTATATTTGGTTGAGGCAAACTAAAGTAAGAGAACGGAAACCAATTTTGGGATGTATGTACGGAAAGACAACGGTAACACTTAATGCCCCCTCAGGTGATGGCGAGGGCATAAAAATCTTACCCAAAATTTAATTTTTAGATACCATGGATTCATTATTATTTGTGGGATACGGATTTTTGTAATTTCTTGGGATAAGAAAACCACACATTTAAATATTCAATGAAGTACACATTTTTTAAAAGCTTATATACTGACTTTGGCAAATCCATTAATTCAATTATATACCAAAAACAAGTTTTCCTCAAACCACAAAAAATGGTTTACTAAAAAATAATTGACAATGTCTGTTTTCTTACTAAAAAATAATTGACAATGTCTGTTTTCCTACTCAGAAATAATTGACAATGTCTGTTTTCTTACTCTGAAATAACTGACAATGTCTGTTTTCTTACTCAGGAATAATTGACAATGTCTGTTTTCCTACTCAGAAATAATTGACAATGCCTGTTTTCTTACTCAGAAATAATTGACAATGTCTGTTTTCCTACTCAGAAATAATTGACAATGTCTGTTTTCCTACTCAGAAATAATTGACAATGTCTGTTTTCCTACTCAGATATAATTGGCAATGTCTGTTTTCTTACTCAGGAATAATTGACAATATCTTGTTCTTTTAACTCAATGATAATTGACAATGTCTGGTTTTTTTTTCACTAAAACATAATTGACAATGTCTCCTGTCTCTCTTACTCAAAAATAATTGACATTGTCTCCTGTTTTCTTACTCAAAATAATTGACAATTTTTGTCTTCTTACTCAAAAATAATTGACATCTGTTTTCTTTCTTATGATTAACCTACAAGACAGCTTTGAAAACAACAAATTTGGTATGAGTGATTATGAAATAAAAGACAAAATAAATTTACCTCTTTCATAATTTTATCATCAGGGTCTGTTGTCTCTATGATGGTTGGCTCCACAAAATACCCCTTGCTGAAATAAACACAAAGAATGAATCAACTGTGCCTTTTGATTGGGGCTATTCTAGAAAAAAATATATGGGCAGGGAGGGGGGTTTGAAAGACACTTGAATTATTTTTGTATGGGTGAGTGACAAAATCAGACATTCTGGAAGCACATGTTCACAAATACGTAAGTAATAAAAACTTTAATTTCACTTCAGTTTGGAATCAAATCCATTTCCTTTGACCCATACTGTTTTTCTGAAGATTTTTAATAATCAATAAGTGGAATTATTACAATTTTAAAAGGAACATATGAAAATTGGTATGGATTTCTATTTAGAGTTGATGAAGTACAGAAGGGGTTATTGTTACTAAAGAACGATTATTAATTCCTCGCAAATTTTTAATGTTATTGGCTGAAAACCTCCGGATAAATGAACAAAATAATTTATTAATCATGTTAATAATCTAAAAACTAGATGGTGAAATGTAGGCATTACATTTTGTATGTCTGTTGTAGCAAATTCTAATGATTTTCATATTATTTTGTTTTGTCATTTGTATGTAAAATTCTGTTAGGTACCTTTATCATGTTTATTGGGTCTCTCGGCTGACCACATTTGTTTACAGAGAATTTTCTCCCCGTAATATATCAACAACATTGCTTAAATCATGAATATGACAACTACGACCCTCGCAATCTCATTTATTTTGTTGTTTCAAAAATAAAAAATTTTAACTATAAATTCATGTGTTGGTCATTACTCAGGTGAGGTTTTTTGCAACTTCGTTATCAATGTGAATTCATGGAGGCCTTTAAACCTGTCTACAGGTTACACTGTTTCCCTATATACATTGTTGTCTTACAACTTTATAACTTATCATGACTAATCATTGTTAAAAGTAAGTATAGTTACCTGTTATCACAATTACCGCCAGCTACTATCTTCAAATTTGGTGACGATTTGGCGTGGTCTAAATATGCTTTATTTCTATCAAATGACTGAAAAATAAAAAAATATCATGTTAAATATTTAATAAAATGCTATGCTGGGCGCAGCTGGATACGACCACAAAGGTCGATCCCTGAACAGTCCAGGCAAGTATGGACACTACATTCAAGCTTGATACAGCTCTGAATTTGTATTGTGATTAAATATTTGACATATCATAGGTTTCTGTCACAGAATGAATGTGGTCAAAGAACTGAAAAATTTGAAATTGGATTTTACTATAAAAGTCCAATATCCAAAATCTAAATACACAGTTAGATTCAGCATATCCAAGTACACTAAGAATTTAATTAATTTATTTATTAATGGATCATAATATCTTAGTACAAGATGGAATTTTGCGGTTGTATAAAAATATTATACCACTGGGAATTTTTTTAGTCATCTATTCTCTTCATTAAATAAATTTATGAAGAAAATGGGACGATTTTATTTGTCAGTTTTATTGATTGGTTGTTTGGTGCTTAACACCACTTCTAGCACTATTGTCTAATGGCCATCAATTTTTATCGGTGGAGGAATCTTGAGTGCCTGGAGAGAACCATCGACCTTCAGTAGGAAAACTGACAATTCTTGACAATCTAGATAGGAGTCTGCCATGTGCAGGATTTGAACTCACAACCTCAGTGTTGACAGGCAAGTGATACTTTGCATAGCCTATTTGTCAGACAAAATTATGCAATTAGGCAGAGTATGCTTATATCCAAAATGCAAAATACGGAGTCAAACAAGATCAATCCATAATTAATTAACACCTATTTAGAGCGAATGGTCATGTTTTGACAATAATTACCGGTTTGACATTCTTATGACCTCAAGGCTTAAATTAAACAAGGGAAACAAATTTACCTGTACACATTGAGGGAAAATAATCCTATAAACACAAAAGAAACTGTTTTAAACACAAAAGGAAATTATAAAATAATAAAATGCTCCGCAGGGCGCAGCTTGATACGACCGCAGAGGTCGAACCCTGAACAGTTGGGGCAAGTATGGACACAACATTCAAGCTTGATACAGCTTTGCATTTGGATTGTGATTAAATATTTGACACAGCATAGGTTTCTGACACAGAATGAATGTGGTCTAAGAACTTAAAAATTTTAAATTGGACATTCACCTATTATGGTCCAATATCCAAAATCTAAATACATGGTTAGATTCAGCATATCAAAGAACCCCAAGAATTCAATTTTTGATGAAATCAAACAAAGTTTAATTTTGGACCCTTTTGACCTCAATGTGGACAAAGTTGAAAACGCGGCCCAAAAATCAAAAATCTAAATACATGGTTAGATTCAGAATATCAAAGAACCCCATATATTCAATTTTTGTTGAAATCAAACAAAGTTTAATTTTGGACCCCGATTTGGACCAACTTGAAAACTGGGCCCATAATCAAAAATCTAAATACATGTTTAGATTCAGCATATCAAAGAACCCTAAGAATTCAATTTTTGTTAAAATCAAATTAAGTTTAATTTTGGACCCTTTGGACCTTAATGTAGACCAATTTGAAAACGGAACCAAAAATTAAGAATCTAAATACATGGTTAGATTCGGCATATCAAAGAACCCCAATAATTCAATTTTTGATGAAATCAAACAAAGTTTAATTTTGGACCCTTTGGACCTCAATTTGGACCAATTAAAAAAACGGGGCCCAAAATCCAAAAACTAAATACACGGTTAGATTCAGCATATTAAAGAAACCCAAGAATTCAAGAATAAAACCCCATTGAAATTGGTCAAGAAATAAGCAATTTATACGAAGTATCTTCTTTTGCACAATACTGTGCAATTAAATATTTCTTGCTATTGCGCAATACTGTACAATTGACAATTTCTTGCTATTGCGCAATATTGTGCTATTGGATATTTCTTGCTATTGCGCAATACTGTGCAATTGAAGATTTCTTGCTATTGCGCAATACTGTGCAATTGAAGATTTCTTGCTATTGTGCAATACTGCGCAATTGAAAATTTCTTGCTATTGCACAATACTTATTATATAATAATTTACACATCCTGTTTGGTGTGTATCTCCTACCATATCATTATTATTTGCTTTTAAATATAAATCAGAAATAACCAACTTAAAATGGAAAATTTTAAAAGAAAAAAAAAAATGAAAAAAAAAAAAATCCCCCCCCCACAAATATTTTGAACCCCCTTATGATTCATCACCCCCAAACTCAATCCCAGCCTTCCCTTTGTGGAATGGTACCTTGCAGTACAATTTCAGAGAGATCCATACACTTGAACACAAGTTATTGTCTGGAAACTAGAAAAATGTGTTTTTTGGCCCCTTTTTGGCCCCAAATTCCTAAACGTTTAGGGCAATTACCCCCAAACTCAAACCCAGCTTTCCCTTTGTGATATGGAACCTTGTAGTACAATTTCAGAAAGATCCATACACTTACACACAAGTTATTGTCCTGAAACTAGAAAAATGCTTGTTTTTTGCCCCTTTTTGGCCCCTAATTCCTAAAATATTGAGGCAATTACCCCCATCATCAATCCCAGCCTTCCCTTTGTGGTATGGTACCTCGCAGTACAATTTCAGAGAGATCCATGCACTTGAACACAAGTTATTGTCTGGAAACTAGAAAAATGCTTATTTTTGGCCCCTTTTTGGCCCCCAATTCCTAAATGTTTCGGCAATTACCCCCAAACTCAATTCCAGCTTTCCCTTTGTGATATGGAACCTTGTAGTACAATTTCAGAAAGATCCATACACTTACACACAAGTTATTGTTATGAAACTAGAAAAATGCTTGTTTTTTGCCCCTTTTTTGGCCCCTAATTCCTAAAATTTTGAGGCAATTACCCCCAAAATCAATCCCAGCATTCCTTTTGTGATATGGAACCTTGTGGTACAATGTCAGAGAGATCCATACACTAACACACAAGTTATGTCTGGAAGTTACAAAAATGCTTATTTTTGGCCCCTTTTTGGCCCCTAATTCCTTTACTGTTGGTACCATAACCCCCAAAAACAATCCCAACCTTCCTTTTGTGGTATTGAACCTTGTGGTAAAATTTCATAGAGATCCATTCACTTAAACTAAAGTTAGAGTGCGAAAACCAATGTGTCTTCGGACGACGCCGGACGACGCCAGACGACGACGACGCCGGACGACGACGACGCCAACGTCATACCAATATACGACCACAAAAATTTTTTTGCGGTCGTATAAAAACGAAAATTAAGATGCATTTTAGAATGAATACTTACCAAATTGACATTTTCAGTAAGAACAAAAATCGTCAGTTTTAACTAAGCATATCTGGCTGGTGATTATTTTCTATGCAATTAACCTAAAGGCCACTGGTTAGGCTATGCAGATAATCAAAGTTTTTAGCATTAGATGTATGGGAATGGTTTTGTGCAGAAGAAAATTAAACAATTAAATGAATTATGCTATTATCCGTATGCGATTAAGTGGAGTCGACTGTAATAAGTATATGTTATGATGGTATGATACTAAACCCCTAACGGGAAGGATTGTGTCTGATATTCATATGATGAAGACATAATCTTTCAATCAGTTTAATTGAAGTCTGGAGCTGGCATGTCAGTTAACTGCTAGTAGTCTGTTGTTATTTATGTATTATTGTCATTTTGTTTATTTTCTTTGGTTACATCTTCTGACATCAGACTCGGACTTCTCTTGAACTGAATTTTAATGTGCGTATTGTTATGCGTTTACTTTTCTACATTGGCTAGAGGTATAGGGGGAGGGTTGAGATCTCATAAACATGTTTAACCCCGCCGCATTTTTGCGCCTGTCCCAAGTCAGGAGCCTCTAGCCTTTGTCAGTCTTGTATTATTTTTAATTTTAGTTTCTTGTGTACAATTTGGAGTTTAGTATGGCGTTCATTATCACTGAACTAGTATATATATATTTGTTTAGGGGCCAGCTGAAGGACGCCTCCGGGTGCGGGAATTTCTCGCTGCATTGAAGACCTGTTGGTGACCTTCTGCTGTTGTCTGTTCTATGGTCGGGTTGTTGTCTCTTTGACACATTCCTCATTTCCTTTCTCAATTTTATTGTGTATAAAATTACCTTATCATCAATAATGGCTGACACAAAAGTCTCTACGTCCAATGGTGACCCAACTTTAATCTTCTTGTGTATTTTTAACATTTTCTCCTTGACCTCCGGCCACATGGATTGTGGAATATACATCCGAGAACATGCTGAACATTTTTGTCCCCCATATTCAAACGCTGACCTGATTGTTCCATTCACCACACTTTCTAAATCACCTGACTTGTGGACAAAATGGAAATTTTTACCACCACATTCTAAAAATATAACAAAACATTTCACAACCATTTAGAACATTAAACATGTTAAAGACATAATCATATTTAGAAAAAATTCATTGAGGTTTTCGTAAAGTTTTTTTTTACTGCTTTTACTTTTTGTCGGATATCTTGATACTAGTTTTAGAGCACTCTGTACCACTGCATTAAAGAGAAAATAATTGTTTCTTTTATTAATTGGTGCTTTTATACATTTAGCTATGCAGTTAAAAATAATTAACACCGTAAGGAACCACTAAATCGGGCCCGGTCAGAAAAAACATAAAGAAAGTAGTACATATTTTAAACAAAATAGTTCCTATGCATAGCTATAAATTTGTCAATAAGTATTAAAAGGTTTGGGTAATTTTGGGTAAGGAACCACTAAATCGGGCCCGGTCAGAAAAAACATATAGAAAGTAGTACATATTTTAAACAAAATAGTTCCTATGCATAGCTATAAATTTGTCAATAAGTATTAAAAGGTTTGGGTAATTTTGGTATCAAGCAAAAACTTAATGACTTGGGATCACTGTAGAACCCTTGTTCAAACTTTATTTTGAATATTAAAACAAATATAGGAAATTATAATAGGAGAGCACATTAGCTCTGTTGTTAAGTTAGAGAACGGTAACGAAAAATTCAGATTTTTTTCCATTTGTAAAGGGGCATAACTCTAGAACGGTTAAAGTGATGACACCAAAACTCAAACTTGATATGTGTTTTGTGGGAAAAAGCATTGTGTATAAGATTCATAACATTTGGTTGTGGCAAACTTAAGTTAGAGAACGGAAACGAAAAATTCAGCAATTTTTCCATTTGTAAAGGGGCATAACTCTAGAAAGGTAAAAGTGACGTCACCCTAATTCAAACTTGATCTGTGGTCTGTGGTAATAAGCATTGTGTATAAGTTTCATAACATTTGAATAAGGCAAACTAAAGTTAGAGAACAGAAACCAAGTTCGAGACATGCGGATATACGGAAGGACATACAGACGGACAAGGGTAAAACGTAATGCCCCCTCCTCTACAGCGGGGGCATAAAAATTATCTTCCCTTTTACATGTAAGATAGGGTTCACATGCTGATAATCTCAAATTAAATGAGAAGGGACATCACGATGTAATGGCATTGGTAGCTGTGTTAATAACAGCACCATTGTCATTCTATTGAATCATGAAGTTAATCACAAGAAAGATTAACTAGCACTGTGAGTTAACTCATAAAAGGCTCTCCCATGCTTTCAGAGACTATTATTTCATATAATATTGCAACACTGAAGTACTTAAATAAGATTATCTCCCCTTTTACATATGAGAGAGGGATCACATGTTGATAATCTCATAGAAGGGACATTAAGTATAAATAAGAACATGTGGTACGAGTGCCAATGAGACAACTCATCATCCAAGTTAAGATTCATTTTAGTCCAAAGAAGATGAATTTATTGAGGACTATTTCAAATTTGCAGTTAGTGTATGGATATGCGTAAGATCAAGAAATGAGTGGAGAATTATTGTAACTCCATCGCAACATGAGAATGATGACAATAAAAAAATAAACAATAATAAAATTGTGTAAAATTGGTAATGATAGGTCAGAAAAGACATCACTCATACATGTAACTCAAGGTCAAAACTCATACAAAATTGGAGATCATTCATATGATACATAATTAACAAAAAAGTTCATGAGCTAACCATAATGATATAAATGTATGGAAATATGTTAAGGACGTTCGCTCCTCTGTTTAAAAAAAACAAGCTTTTTAAAAGACTGTTATAAATTGATAGTATATAAATAACAGAACTTAAAAAGCAGAAAAAAAAGATAGGTCTGCGATCTTGTTTTTGAGATATAATACATTGAAAATTTGGCCAGAAATTATTCTCTCTAGATTTTTCATACATTTAACATTAATTTTTAGCACCTTTTTTCTTTCAAAAAATATGAAAAAATAACAAGGAATTTTTAAGATTTTCAAACATGGCTTTTTAAACTATATGTAATACAATTATGAAAAGAAAAGTAGGAGTTAACAGGCAACATTTTTTAATGGCACTACATGGATAAAACTAGAGGATTCTGAATATCTGACAAAAAGTCAAAAACAAGAGTAGCGAACATCCTTTAAAAATAAATAAATGTATGATAATTACCTCCTATTAATCTAGGATATGTTCTGTAGTTTTCTATATTATTTGCTACTTGTTTCCATAGATGTTGGAATGTTCTGTAAAGAAAAACATACTGTTAAGACATGAGTCTTACATAGGAGATGTGCCGTCTGCTACAGGTATTTTAAAATTGAATGGCATACTTAAGAGCAACAAAATAACACATTAATTTAGGATGTTTGCTGCTCTGTTTTAAAATAACAAGCTTTTTAAAAAAATTTCATAGTATATAATTGAACTAAAACAAAAGAAAAAAAAACGAAAGACTTTGGAAGTAATACCACCATTGTTTTTCCCTCTAAGTCTTTGTTAAATTGGCATTTTTCAAAAAATTATGCAGAATTTATCTTTATTTCAAATAAAGAACTACTTGTCATGAGTAAAGTTTTATCCTGTTCAGTACTACAGTGAAAATTTCACATAACATTTCACTCCATATAAGGTAAAAACCCTCACGAGGAGTAAACCAATCAAATTTGCACTCCCTTTCTTCCTGTTTACAAGCTTTAGTAATCATGTCTCTTCAAGTTTCCAAATATTCTATAGACAAACCAAATAAAAAAAGAATGGTGCTTTGAACCACCCAAGATATAAGTTTAAGAATCAGAAATTTATTGCTGTAAGGAAATGTCGGATTAATTTCCTACAACTGTCAAATTTAAGGGAATATTTGTTTTCGACCCTTTTCTGTATGCAACTAGAGGTGACATACTATGATTTGGTTGTATTACACCTTAAGTATTTGTTTTTGAGATATAAACCATTGAAAATTGGTTGGGAAATGCTTCTAGATTTTTCTATACATTTACGATTGGCACCTTTTATCTATCAAAAACTATGAAAAAATAACATGGATTTTATAAGATTTTCAAAATGGCTTACTTAACTAAATGTTATAAAAATATGAAAAGAAAATTAGGGGTTAGCAGGCAAAATTTTTAATGGCTCCAAATGGATAAAACCAGAGGATTCTGAATATCTGACAAAAAGTCAAAAACAAGAGCAGAAAACATCCTTAACTGATTCGTGTTGGCCTTATACAGCAATGGTACAATAGTCTTTATCGCGTCAACAGCCTATCAATTATTTGATATGAACATTGAAAACTTACAAACATTCATGATTATAAATCAAAATAATACAAAAGTTGTGGTATATTGGTGAAAAATTAAGAATTTGTGGTATGATTGCCAATAAGACAACTATCCATCAAAGAGCAAAGGATAAAGATGTAAACAAATGTAGGTTATAATAGGGCTATCAACAATGTGCAAACCCCATACAGTATGGTAAACTAGTAGTGACAAAATGTTACACAATTCAAAACAATAAAATAACTGTGATGTTACAACTCAACACTTTCAAGCTGCTGACCAAATATGATATCATTCTGTTCAGTAATTTTTAAGAAAAGCATGACCAAATACTTGTTTTACCAATAGACAAGAAGACCAGAGGATTGAAATATACCCAGTAGAATAAATGAACAATAATGGGGACAGTTAGCTGGTTTCTGTCAAATTGTAAGGATCTTAAAAAGGTGATGATTTGTTTTCAGTAAGGATCAGGTTTAGGGTTAGGTTTATGTCTCTGAGTTAAGGTGCTAAGGCTCATTCATGAAGGTTATACAGTGACCTGTAGTTGCTTACTTCTACTTCATTTGGTCTAGATCTCTAGTGGAGAGATTTCTCATTGGCAATCATAATAAATCTTATTATTATTATAAGCTGAGCATATTAAGAGAAAAACTATCAAAATCGCCAAGTTCCCCTATAAAAAGTAATAAAATGCTCCGCAGGGCGCAGCTTGATACGACCGCAGAGGTTGAACCCTGAACAGTTGGGGCAAGTATGGACACAACATTCAAGCTTGATACAGCTCTGAATTTGGATTGTGATTAAATATTTGACACAGCATATGTTTCTGACACAGAATGAATGTGGTCTAAGAACTTAAAAATTTTAAATTGGACATTCACCTATTATGGTCCAATATCCAAAATCTAAATACATGGTTAGATTCAGCATATTAATGAACCCCCAAGAATTCAATTTTTGATGAAATCAAACAAAGTTTAATTTTGGACCCTTTTGACCTCAATGTGGACAAAGTTGATAACAGGGCCCAAAAATCAAAAATCTAAATACATGGTTAGATTCAGCATATCAAAGAACCCCATATATTCAATTTTTGTTGAAATCAAGCAAAGTTTAATTTTGGACCCCGATTTGGACCAACTTGAAAACTGGGCCCATAATAAAAAATCTAAATACATGTTTAGATTCAGCATTCAAAGAACCCTAAGAATTCAATTTTTGTTAAAATCAAACAAAGTTTAATTTTGGACCCTTTGGACCTTAATGTAGACCAATTTGAAAACGGAACCAAAAATTAAGAATCTAAATACACGGTTAGATTCGGCATATCAAAGAACCCCAATAATTCAATTTCTGTTGAAATCAAACAAAGTTTAATTTTGGACCCCGATTTGGACCAACTTGAAAACTGGGCCCATAATCAAAAATCTAAATACATGGTTAGATTCAGCATATCAAAGAACCCCATATATTCAATTTTTGTTGAAATCAAACAAAGTTTAATTTTGGACCCCGATTTGGACCAACTTGAAAACTGGGCCCATAATCAAAAATCTAAATACATGGTTAGATTCAGCATATCAAAGAACCCCATATATTCAATTTTTGTTGAAATCAAACAAAGTTTAATTTTGGACCCTTTTGACCTCAATGTGGACCAACTTGAAAACTGGGCCCATAATCAAAAATCTAAATACATGGTTAGATTCAGCATATCAAAGAACCCCATATATTCAATTTTTGTTGAAATCAAACAAAGTTTAATTTTGGACCCCGATTTGGATCAACTTGAAAACTGGGCCCATAATCAAAAATCTAAATACATGGTTAGATTCAGCATATCAAAGAACCCCATATATTCAATTTTTGTTGAAATCAAACAAAGTTTAATTTTGGACCCCGATTTGGACCAACTTGAAAACTGGGCCCATAATCAAAAATCTAAATACATGGTAAGATTCAGCATATCAAAGAACCCCATATATTCAATTTTTGTTGAAATCAAACAAAGTTTAATTTTGGACCCCGATTTGGACCAACTTGAAAACTGGGCCCATAATCAAAACTCTAAATACATGGTTAGATTCAGCATATCAAAGAACCCCATATATTCAATTTTTGTTGAAATCAAACAAAGTTTAATTTTGGACCCTTTTGACCTCAATGTGGACAAAGTTGATAACAGGGCCCAAAAATCAAAAATCTAAATACATGGTTAGATTCAGCATATCAAAGAACCCCATATATTCAATTTTTATTGAAATCAAACAAAGTTTAATTTTGGACCCCGATTTGGACCAACTTGAAAACTGGGCCCATAATCAAAAATCTAAATACATGGTTAGATTCAGCATATCAAAGAACCCCATATATTCAATTTTTGTTGAAATCAAACAAAGTTTAATTTTGGACCCCGATTTGGACCAACTTGAAAACTGGGCCCATAATCAAAAATCTAAATACATGTTTAGATTCAGCATATCAGAGAACCCTAAGAATTCAATTTTTGTTAAAATCAAACAAAGTTTAATTTTGGACCCTTTGGACCTTAATGTAGACCAATTTGAAAACGGAACCAAAAATTAAGAATCTAAATACACGGTTAGATTCGGCATATCAAAGAACCCCAATAATTCAATTTCTGATGAAATCAAACAAAGTTAAATTTTGGACCCTTTGGACCTCAATGTGGACCAATTTAAAAACGGGGCCCAAAATCCAAAAACTTAATACACGGTTAGATTCTGCATATTAAAGAACCCCAAGAATTCAAGAATAAAACCCTATTGAAATTGATCAAGAAATAAGCAATTTATACGAAGTATCTTCTTTTGCACAATACTGTGCAATTGAATATTTCTTGCTATTGCGCAATACTGTACAATTGACAATTTCTTGCTATTGCGCAATATTGTGCTATTGGATATTTCTTGCTATTGCGCAATACTGTGCAATTGGAGATTTCTTGCTATTGTGCAATACTGTGCAATTGAACATTTCTTGCTATTGTGCAATACTGTGCAATTGAAAATTTCTTGCTATTGCACAATACTTATTATATAATAATTTACACATTCTGTTTGGTGTGTATCTCCTACCATATCATTATTATTTGCTTTTAAATATAAATCAGAAATAACCAACTTAAAATGGAAAATTTTAAAAGAAAAAAAAAGGAAAAAAAGAAAAAAAAAAAAAAAAAAAAAAAAATCCCCCCCCTCAAAAATTTTTTGAACCCCCTTATGATTCATCACCCCCAAACTCAATCCCAGCCTTCCCTTTGTGGTATGGTACCTTGCAGTACAATTTCAGAGAGATCCATACACTTGAACACAAGTTATTGTTTGGAAACTAGAAAAATGCTTATTTTTGGCCCCTTTTTGGCCCCCAATTCCTAAACGTTTCGGGCAATTACCCCCAAACTCAATTCCAGCTTTCCCTTTGTGATATGGAACCTTGTAGTACAATTTCAGAAATATCCAAACACTTACACACAAGTTATTGTCATGAAACTAGAAAAATGCTTGTTTTTTGCCCCTTTTGTGGCCCCTAATTCCTAAAATTTTGATGCAATTACCCCCAAAATCAATAACAGCCTTCCCTTTGTGATATGGAACCTTGTGGTACAATGTCAGAGAGATCCATACACTTACACACAAGTTATTGTCTGGAAGTTACAAAAATGCTTATTTTTGGCCCCTTTTTGGCCCCTAATTCCTTAACTGTTGGTACCATAACCCCCAAAATCAATCCCAACCTTCCTTTCGTGGTATAGAACCTTATGGTAAAATTTCATGGAGATCCATTCACTTAAACTAAAGTTAGAGTGCGAAAACCAATGTGTCTTCGGACGACGCCAGACGACGACGACAACGACGACGACGACGACGACGCCAACGTCATACCAATATACGACCAAAAAATTTTTAATTTTTGCGGTCGTATAAAAATAGGCCATGAAAATACTTCAGCCTAAAGAAAAGGTACCTAACACTGCCAGTAAAATTGATTCCTGCTAGATGTTTGGAAGCTGTGACTGTATCGCCAAAGACTGGTCCGTCTGCTGGTACAAAATTAATGACACCTGGTGGAAGACCAGCCTCACGGTATATTTTGTAAACTAAGTAATTAGACAGCATGGCTGTATCTGAGGGCTTCCATACAGTAACATTTCCCTGAAAGAAAATTAAGAATCTTGTTTAATACTCATAAGAAGTTCAACATTAAACTGCCGTGGATTCATAATTATTCGTGGGATACCATTTTTTGTTGATTTTGTGGGTATAAGTGAACCTCTGTTTCTTTCAGAGGAGTCGAGTGTTGGTGGTTGATTTAGTCTGTTGTTTTGGTCATATTTAAATGTCAATGAAGAACACATTTTCTATAGGCTGATATGCAAACTTTGGCAGCATCACGAAATCAAATATCCACGAAAATAAAATTTTTCCTCTATCCATGAAAATTGGTACCCACATAAAATATATTAGAGTATTTGACACTAAACAAGTACGTTGGTTTTCTTGCTTGAATAGTTTTACATTTTTTATTTCTGGGCCATTTATAACTTGCTATGCAGTATTGGTTTTGCTCATTGTTGAAGGCCATAAATTGACCTATAGTTGCTAACTTCTATATCATTTGGTCTCTGGTGGAGAGCTGTCTCATTGGCATTCATAACACACCTCCTTTTATTTCCAAACTTTAAGGTTGTTTTTGAAGGACTAAATTTATAGATCTGTTTTGATATTGAAATGGCATTATAGAAGTAAGTGATAATCATCTCCTTTTATCATGTTTATATAGCAGGAGATTGATATCCTGTTAATGAACTTTTTCTTGTATCATTTGGACTTCAGTGTGATTCTATTATCTTTCACTCCAATATTTAGACTGTTTTTACCTAGACAATATTTTTCATTTGTCATAAGGCCTAATCAAAATATATGTTTGGTTCCAGATACCCGACCGACCCTAGTGGAAACCCTTATACCCTAGAACTTTTTTTTCCATTTCTGAAAAATAAATTTTGAACGATCCCATTTTGAGGAATGTGAATTTTAATAATTAAATAAATTCACAGACTTCTGTCATCAGAATTTCCATTATAACATGGTATCCACTACTGCTAAAAATGCAAAAAGTTCTCAACATGATAATTAACTAAAAACATAACATGTCTGTTTAATTTTCAACCAAACATATAGAAAATGGCGAACTTCCAGTTGGGGCATGTATAATACCGGATTCGGAATCTGTGAACACACGATTTATTAAAAAAAAGGGCAACCTACCAACGCTATTTTTTTTCAGGACGTAACTGGAACCACACATATATTTTTATTTGTCATATGTAAACTACCTATATTCTATATTTATACATACCATCATTGCTGGTGATTGACAAAGATTGCCACCAATTGCTGTGAAATTAAATGGACTTATGGCTGCCCAGAATCCCTGTCAACGAGAAAACCGATTTTATTGTAAAACAAGTAAGATTGAGTTTGTGAATATTATCTCTAATAATATGATACAAAGCCACACTTTTGAAAACTAATGGAACTTATTCTTGGTCTGTTATATGTTCCAATAGTAAATTGTTTGTTTTACCCCCTAAAGATTTGACGTTATCCAATTAGAATTAGCCTTACAAAGAAAACTACATAGATCTGAAAAATAATTTTCTTACCTCCATACCTCTTAGGTTCTGAGAATTTAATGTCTCTTTTGCAGATGGACTGAGTGGCTGTTGTGTTTGTAAACTCTACAAATGAAAATCAAAACTAGCCAATCAAAATCATGGGACATGTAACAATACATTTACGGTATTACTAGCCAATCAAATCATGAGACATGTAACTATAGTTATGACTGGCCAAGCTAATGATGGGACAGGTAACAAAAGGATGACCGATAAAACTGTTTGTCTAGATTGCCTTTGTATTTTCAAGGCTGCAGTCCTTTTGTGGCAATTACTATTCTTAAGATATATCAATTGTGCCAAATATTATTTTTCAAATGTATCAATTGTGCCAGAATACCTAAATCATTAGCACCAAATTATATGTTTGTATATCTATGAAATTATTGACGTTGAACTGTTACTTGTATCAGTCCTTAGTAAATTATTGAACCTTTTGTCAGTTTAAATACAGCTGTATGAAGCTGCCAGCAGACATTTTAAGAAACATTTGCCATTGAAAAATTTCTGAAGAATTAGATATGGGTACTAAGCTGGAAGAGATTATGTTTGTGTGTATGCATATAGCTACAAATTTAAGTCTTTGTTCTAGTTGTGTCACATAAAATAAATAGTTTTATGTTTTATCTACAAACTTTTAAAATGTGCTATTTCTAAAAAATTTAACTTCTCCAGTGTAAACCCTGAATAAAGGAAAAGATAAGATTTTATCTAGGAATTTGTGCAATTGTATACCAAATACATATGGTGCAAATAATTATATGTATCTTGAAAAGAAGTGTCACAAACATATTATTGGTGCATACCAACATCTCCCTTAACAAAACCTATTTCAATTTTTGCTTAACATTAATTAACTTGTTGGATGGAGTCTTTTGTTTTGAAATAAAGGGAGAAAACCCATGAAACATGCAAATTAAGACCTCTACAAGTCAAAAGCTAAAATTAGACTTATTTATGTCTAAGCTCTGACTATTTAATAAAGAATATACTGTATTTGTGATGTATTTATAATCACTAAAATTGCAAATGGATAGGTTTTGCAAAAACAAGAACTAGCATTTTAAATTTATAAATGTTTGTGGAATGCAGCATTTCTTGAAATCGTAATAATTAAACTCACATATCTGTCCATTGTTCATGGTCAACATGTCTAACAACTGCAAGAAAATATGTATGCAAAAATCTCTCAAATTTACAGAACAGCATAAAGTTGCATCTTAACTGTTTTTTAATGTTGTCTCATGCACATTTACTTGAAAACCTTTTCTGTGAGGGCTATTCCATTAAAATGTATGATGGAGGGTAGGAAGGGAAGTTTAATTATTGAATGTGGGTCATGGGACTTTTTTCAGTATGCGTCTATTACCATTATGCAAAATTATCTAAAAAATGGTTCTTGGTTGTAGGGATATATTTTGAAAGTCCCTTCCTACCCTCCCACTTACATTTTAATGGAATAGCTCTGATGATTTTGTTCTATCATTTATAGGATCCTAGCTATAGGGAATAATATGTAAGTGCATCAGGCTTCAAAAAAGTAGTTCATCTTTGTGTATAATGACCCTATTTAACTGTACTCAGAATTGCTAACAAATCAAAAAATTGTAATTTTTTCATTATGTAAAATTAACAAAAGAGATCGGATACAATTTTTAAACTAGATATCCTAAAGATGATTAAGGCCAAGATTGGTTCAATTTGGCCCAGTAGTTTCAGAGGAGATTTTTGTAAAAGTTAACGGACGACAACGGACGTCGGATGCCAAGTAATAAGAAAAGCTCACTTGACCCTTTGGGTCAGGTGAGCTGAAAATGTTTGCTGAAACATCCCTCTGTTCCCAAGTCTAGATAAATGGGGAAAAATTCCTTAAACAATTCCATAATCACAGGTGCACCACTTCAACATGTGTGCAATCTTTTTGTGAAGTTTCAGCGATCTGGATTGAAAATAGGAGGAGGGGATTACACAAATAAGGCATCCACTTTTCCCCAGGCCACCAGACATCACCATACAATAAGCTGATTCTGGACTGTGTCTTCGTTCAACCTAGCCAATAATAACCAAAAGACATCAAGAGAGCAACACTCAGTCTTCAACAATAAACAGGTACTATACAAATTGTCAAGTTCTAAATCATTTTTGTGTAAATTGTCTTCAGTCTAAAAAGTTGTGCATACATTAAACACAAACTATCAAAGATCTGACATCAATGCTAAATTGTCTCCAAATAACTAAAAACACTCTGTCCTTTCTTTGCACTTTCTCCGAAGCAACATGCACTTTTTCAACAGTGGTAGAAACACATTGTATGGCCTTCAACAATAGGCAAACCCCATACCACATAGCAAGCTATAAAAGGCCCCAAAAAGACAATTGTAAAACAATTCAAAGGATGGTGCTTGGTGAAAAAGTGGGAAAAAAGTATCCTTATGGTAGGAACTAAAAATAAAATGCTTCGCTGGGCGCAGCTTGATACGACCGCAGAGGTCGAACCCTGAACAGTTGGGGCAAGTATGGACACAACATTCAAGCTTGATACAGCTCTGAATTTGGATTGTGATTAAATATTTGACACAGCATAGGTTTCTGACACAGAAAGAATGTGGTCTAAGAACTTCAATTTTTTTAATTTACCTATTATGGTCCAATGCCCAAAATCAAAATACATGGTTAGATTCAGCATATCAAAGAACCCCATATATTCAAATTTTGTTGAAATCAAACAAAGTTTAATTTTGGACCCCAACTTGGACCAACTTGAAAACTGGTCCCATAATCAAAAATCTAAACACATGTTTAGATTCAGCATATCAAAGTACCCCAAGTTTTCAATTTTTGTTAAAATCAAACTAAGTTTAATTTTGGACCCTTTGGACCTTAATGTAGACCAATTTAAAAAACGGAACCCAAAATTAAAAATCTAAAAACACGGTTAGATTTGGCATATCAAAGAACCCCAATAATTCAATTTTTGATGAAATCAAACAAAGTTTAATTTTGGACCCTTTTGACCTCAATATGAACCAATTTGATAGCGGGCCCACAAAATAAAAAATCTAAATACATGGTAAGATTCAGCATATCAAAGAACCCCATATATTCAATTTTTTTTTAAATCAAACAAAGTTTAATTTTGGACCCCAATTTGGACCAACTTGAAAACTGGGCCAAAAATCTAAAATCTAAATACATGTTTAGATTCAGCATATCAAAGAACCCCATATATTCAATTTTTGTTGAAATCAAACAAAGTTTAATTTTGGACCCCAACTTGGACCAACTTGAAAACTGGTCCCATAATCAAAAATCTAAACACATGTTTAGATTCAGCATATCAAAGAACCCCATAAATTCAATTTTTGTTAAAATCAAACTAAGTTTAATTTTGGACCCTTTGGACCTTAATGTAGACCAATTTAAAAAACGGGACCCAAAATTAAAAATCTAAATACACGGTTAGATTTGGCATATCAAAGAACCCCAATAATTAAATTTTTGATGAAATCAAACAAAGTTTAATTTTGGACCCTTTTGACCTCAATATGAACCAATTTGATAGCGGGCCCACAAATAAAAAATCTAAATACATGGTAAGATTCAGCATATCAAAGAACCCCATATATTCAATTTTTGTTGAAATCAAACAAAGTTTAATTTTGGACCCCAATTTGGACCAACTTGAAAACTGGGCCAAAAATCTAAAATCTAAATACATGTTTAGATTCAGCATATCAAAGAACCCCATATATTCAATTTTTGTTGAAATCAAACAAAGTTTAATTTTGGACCCCAACTTGAAAACTGGGCCCATAATCAAAAATCTAAACACATGTTTAGATTCAGCATATCAAAGAACCCCAATAATTCAATTTTTGATGAAATCAAACAAAGTTTAATTTTGGACCCTTTTGACCTCAATATGAACCAATTTGATAGCGGGTCCACAAATAAAAAATCTAAATACATGGTTAGATTCAGCATATCAAAGAACCCCAAGAATTCAATTTTTGATGAAATCAAACAAAGTTTAATTTTGGACCCTTTTGACCTCAATGTGGACAAAGTTGATAATGGGGCCCAAAAATCAAAAATCTAAATACATGGTTAGATTCAGCATATCAAAGAACCCCATATATTCAATTTTTGTTGAAATCAAACAAAGTTTAATTTTGGACCCCGATTTGGACCAACTTGAAAACTGGGCCCATAATCAAAAATCTAAATACATGTTTAGATGCAGCATATCAAAGAACCCTAAAATTTCAATTTTTGTTAAAATCAAACTAAGTTTAATTTTGGACCCTTTTGACCTTAATGTAGACCAATTTGAAAACGGAACCAAAAATTAAGAATCTAAATACACGGTTAGATTCGGCATATCAAAGAACCCCAATAGTTCAATTTTTGATGAAATCAAACAAAGTTAAATTTTGGACCCTTTTGACCTCAATGTGGACCAATTTAAAAACGGGGCCCAAAATCCAAAAACTTAATACTTGGTTTGATTCAGCATATTAAAGAACCCCAAGAATTCAAGAATAAAACCCCATTGAAATTGATCAAGAAATAAGCAATTTATACGAAGTATCTTCTTTTGCACAATACTGTGCAATTGAATATTTCTTGCTATTGTGCAATACTGTACAATTGACAATTTCTTGCTATTGCGCAATATTGTGCTATTGGATATTTCTTGCTATTGCGCAATACTGTGCAATTGAAGATTTCTTGCTATTGCGCAATACTGTGCAATTGAAGATTTCTTGCAATTGTGCAATACTGTGCAATTGAAAATTTCTTGCTATTGCACAATACTTATTATAGAATAATTTACACATCCTGTTTGGTGTGTATCTCCTACCATATCATTATTATTTGCTTTTAAATATTAATCAGAAATAACCAACTTAAAATGGAAAATATTAAAAGAAAAAAAAAAAGGAAAAAAAGAAAAAAAAAGAAAAAAAAAAAATCCCCCCCCAAATTTTTTGAACCCCCTTGTGATTCATCACCCCCAAACTCAATCCCAGCCTTCCCATTGTGGTATGGTACCTTGCAGTACAATTTCAGAGAGATCCATACACTTGAACACAAGTTATTGTCTGGAAACTAGAAAAATGCTTATTTTTGGCCCCTTTTTGGCCCCCTATTCCTAAACGTTACGGGCAATTACCCACAAACTCAATTCCAGCTTTCCCTTTGTGATATGGAACCTTGTAGTACAATTTCAGAAATATCCAAACACTTACACACAAGTTATTGTCATGAAACTAGAAAAATGCTTGTTTTTTGCCCCTTTTTTGGCCCCTAATTCCTAAAATTTTGAGACAATTACCCCCAAAATCAATTACAGCCTTCCCTTTGTGATATGGAACCTTGTGGTACAATGTCAGAGAGATCCATACACTTACACACAAGTTATTGTCTGGAAGTTACAAAAATGCTTATTTTTGGCCCCTTTTTGGCCCCTAATTCCTTAACTGTTGGTACCATAACCCCCAAAATCAATCCCAACCTTCCTTTCGTGGTATTGAACCTTATGGTAAAATTTCATGGAGATCCATTCACTTGAACTAAAGTTAGAGTGCGAAAACCAATGTGTCTTCGGACGACGCCGGACGACGCCAGACGACGACGCCGACGACGACGACGACGCCAACGTCATACCAATATACGACCAAAAAATTTTCAATTTTTGCGGTCGTATAATTAGCATAGTTAGGGTTTTCTGAAACTCAAATATTTATTTGTTAGGCCTAGTATTTCTCTATCTTCATGTATGAGATCTTACCAGTGCATATTGTACATTAAATCTAAGGAAATCAATCAATTCACAGACTGCATCAATTTCAGCTTGAACAATATTCTTTGCCTGAAATAAAAACAATATTTAAAAATATAAGAATGTGTATGATGACATGAATTCCCCCCGCTCAAATTTCAAATGAAAATTGGACGGACGGAAGGAAATACAGACGGTCAAGGGTAAGACTTAATGCCATCATCGCCTAATGTGAATGCATAACAACAAAAGAATGTGTCTCTGAGGACATGAATGCCCCTCCCCCCTTTCTCCTCAAGCTTCAAACAAACAAAAATGGGGCCGAAGACGGACTTCAAGGGTAACACTTAATGTCCCTGTCACCTACTTGATTATTTTTTTTTGTGATTTCAGAAAGTTAATATACATCACGTTCAAGAAAATTTTTATAAATACCATAATTCCATTTATTTTGATGTAAAATTATTTTGGCGGTTTTTACAAAAATGTAGCAGTCATATTTTGATGTGTTCAACATTGGTACTTTGATGTATTGATTTAATTAATCAAATAACTATGATTGTCCTTATTTTTTATCAAATGAAATCATGATATTATATCATATTTTATCATGATTATCGCGAATGTTTGAGGTCAATGCTTTATTTGGTTTGTTTAATTTTAACACTTTCATGTTCAGCACCAAATAAATCAAAATATCCCAATTAACGATACTCTAAACGTGGTAAATATTTCACAGAGCTGTCTTCTTCATAAAATATAGCAAACTTCATTTTACATTATTTCTATTTAACTAGATTTCATTAAAATGTAAATTTCTATGAAAAACTGTTTACACTAAAAATATCTGTCGTGAATTTTTTAGAACTGCAGAGAATTTTTAGTTACCTGGCCCATCATTGTTGTAGCCATTAGATCCATTCTATATTCTTTACTCATCAGATCAGCTGCTTTGAGGAAAATGTTGCATCTTGCTTCCAGTGGAGTTCTGTCCCAAGCTTGTCTTGCTTTTAAGCTATTATCTATGGCTTTTTGAATAAGTTCCTATAATGGCATAAAAAAAACTGATTGTCTCTTTTTAACTACAAAATGGATGTTCTTAAATGTCATATTTATCATTTTCCTTCATCAAATTGAAAAACAAAGACGTGAAAGATGTCTTCGGGTTTTTAATTGTTCTGTAGGTTGCTGTCTTTCCTATATACGTACCGTACATACTAGGTGATTCAGCTAATATTCACCCGTTCTGGTGTTGAGTGAATAATAGTGAAACAGGGTGATTGCATGTGAATTTTTAGGTCATTTGAAATGTATATCTGATGATTATACAAAGATACAGGACACTCTGTCTTAGCCTGAGTAGAAATGTAAATGTACAATACACACAATTTGATTCACTTAAAATTCATCAATTCTGGTGTTGAGTGAATTATAGCGAAACAGGGTGATTGCTGGTGATTTAGTTATTTACATGTAGTATCAGTTGAGTAAACAAAGATGTATGTCACCCTATCGAAATGTAAATGTATAATACACACAATGTGATTCACTTAAATTTCACCAGTTCTGGTGTTGAGTGAATTATAGTGAAACAGGGTGATTGCTGGTGAGTTAGTCATTACATATATCTGATGAGTAAATAAAGAAGTAATTCAGAGTGAATCACTGTATTTACCACAGCCAGAAAAAATTACCACCAAGAATGATATTAACTTATTCCCATTGTGTGTACTTATATGTCACCATGAGATAGTTTCTTTCAATGAGTAAAAGAATTATTCAAGAATTCAAATAAAATAGAAAAACATTCAATGAGTAATCTAACAAAGAACACATTCACGAATATGTATAGCGTATGAAATAATTATCAGTGTTGTTCAGTAACAAGTTGTGTAGTTTGCGATTTGAATTCTGGCGTAAGTTATTCTATTTATTACATTTTTGTGTACATTGAATGACTATGGAATTGTTAATGGAAATAAAGTAGAAAATGCAAGGAACTTGATCTCTTTCAAGAAATTCTCAATTCATTTTGTTGCAAAGTCATTCACAATGTCTTGACAATGTTGTAAGACATCAGAGAAGTGAAATTATCAGATTTATTTCCCATGTGAAATAATTGGTTTGTATGTAATAAAAGTTTTCAATGTATCTTTGCTTCTCCTCCATTTTTTCTTCTAAGGCAAACGTAAATGCATTCTAAAGGTAATAATTTAAACTCATGAAATTTGAACTTGAAACAATCAAAGTGCTTGACAAGCACTGAGGGTTAAAGAGTGCTTTCATTTTGCAATCTGAACTTAAAATTAGATATTGTATTGCATTTGGCCACATTATGTATTTTGAATTTGAGTTATCTCCCTCTGTTTATAATAGTACATTTTAGTTGAACCTATTTATATAACAGATTCATACACCAAGTTATTTTTAATAAAACAGTTTTCTTACAATTAAACTTACTAAGGTTATTAAAATACACATCATTTTGTAAACTTTAATATCCGAGTATTGCATATATATCATTAAAAAATTGCATGAAAATGCCTGGATAGGTTCTTAAGAATGTTCACTTCACTGCACGGGTCGCACTGCAGATGTTAGTTAAACTATTAAAGGTAGTGATAAACCAGGAACATCTAGGTATCAAGCTAGCCACAGAAAGGTTTTGATAGCACATGTAGCAGGAAAGTGATCTTTACCCCAAACACAGATTACGCACACACACTATTCTACATTTTATCAACTTACTGGTGTGGCATTATAATATTTGGCAATCTTTACTTTGTGGTCGAATGGCTGAAAAAAAAAAAATAATGTTACTAAACATTTATTGCTAAACATGTATTATATATTTCAAACTTTACAAATAAGTTACTGAAATATAATATTCACTGAGATCAAAGGCTGAGGGGAGTGATATAACTCATACATTTCATATTGGAACTTTTATTTAACTTTTTCTGTATAATTGTTATTATGGTAATGGTGTACATTGTTTTGATGCTGTTTTTTTTTTTTTTGGTGTTTTATTTTTTCATTATTACAACTGTTGAAAGAATAATATGTTCCTAGTAACTTCCTACTTGTAAGAATTGCAATTAATCATATAGAGGCTCACATACACGTATTATGCTTTAATTTGATGAAGGCAATATTTATTATTAATGTTATTCTTTGTCCCTTGATTTTTATTCGCAAGAGGTACCTCTATAAGCATGATAAGGACTTTGTTTTATTTACAATTACACAGTTTTATATGTAAAATGTATGTTGGCCTGAATTGTTTCTCCTTGACAATTACACTGATACTGTCAAAAAACTTTTTCCGATTCCTGTGCTTGTTTCTAGAATAAAATCTTGTTTGTGGTTGTTTCTGTAATTATTAAGATTTTTTTTCAGATTTGTCATCAAGTTTCTGTTGATTTTGTCAAAATATGTCTAGAAACTGGACAGTTTAAATGACATGATTTTTTTTTTGTGAAATCCAGTGGTTGTGCAGCAGTAACATTGATATCATCCATTTTTTCCAAATTTTATCAATTGATGAAATTTTTAAAACTCACTTCTACTTGATATTTGATTTCCGATGTTCTAAATTCTTCGTCACCAATAACAATGGGAACATCCTCTGTCCTGGTGCTGTACTTATCTAGAGTTTTTAGCAAAGCTTCTTTCTCTTCACATCCATCTTCATATGATAGTATTGGCTCATTGACAGCTGTGTAAGCTGTAATAGTTTGTATTTGTCTGTTCTGTGCAGTTGAGGTGACTTGTGGGACTCGACATAATCTAAAAAAAAAAATCAAAATGTAGATGTTTTTATTTTTTTTTTTTGTTGTGTTGATGGTTTGTGGTCTCACTGATATACAATACTTTCAAATTGTATATGTCTTTTTTTACTTTTGTTGCATTTTTGGGTTGCGGTCTCACTGATATAAAATATTTTCAAAATGTAGATGTCTTTTTTTTAAATTTTTGTTGTACAAAATGTATTGGTGTGTTGCTGTCTCACTGATATAAACACCATATCAACTTTTTCATTTTTTCAGATATATATCAGTCTGTGCCAAACTGTTTTAGGGTTTGTCTGACCAAAAAGAAATTTGACGTTTTTCTACTATATTTTCATCTAAAAAATCTGAAAATTTCTGTCTGCCCAAATGATTTTTTGTCTGACATTTTGTTGGTCAGACAGAGTTTGGGATACACTGATATATGTGCTTTTGAATTGAATGTGTTTTTTTTTTAAATTTACTCTATATGAAAACAAGTGATGTTCTCGCTTTTGCATGAAGCTCAGAAGTTGATTTTTGTTTTAAGCTGAACACTGTATGTTAGTATGAATGCTTGTAGTAGTGTTTGCATGCTTTTTTGAAATAAAAAATACTTTTCTTTAGAAAGATTCATGGTATATACCGCCACCTTGGATTGTACTATCGCAGTACACAATCAGTGTAGTTATTTGCCCAAATCTGCAAATTTGTAGACAGATGTGCAATTTTATTGGTTAGACTGTTTATATATATGAAGAAAACTTGCTGATTTATTGCATTATCCAAAATATTTAAATATTAATACCAAACATTTGTGTTTAGAATCAATTTTTTCAGCTAAGCCATTTAAGGGGAGATAACTCTTTTAGTAAAAAAATTATACTGGACTGATGGGGAAATATTTTATTTTACTTGTAGCAAGAAAACAAGTTCGGTGACAGCATTTTTTCTTTTTATTTTCTTAAAACATATTATGAAACCTATCTTCTCACAACTTATTTCAAAATTCTATCTCATAGATTTCTTTTTATGCACAAAAATGTGTTTTTTCATGATCATTCTAACCAAATTTGGGCAATTTTCAACGACTCATAGCTTGAAAAATAGCACTGTGACCTATCCTTTTTATTATATTTTTGAAAAGAGCATAGTAAAATTTCATTTTGGCAAAGTATAAGAAAATTCTATCTCGGGAAACATATACTTATGATCTACCTTAAATATCATCTATACTATCATGTTTATCATTTCTTAATTTTCCATTTTCTTTATAAAATGAGAAATAAATATATTAATGGTAATCAAGGCATGTCTGGACACATGCCAGACACTTTTGTAAAACTTTGAATTGGACACTTTTTATTACATGTATTATGATACAAAATATTCTACTTCAAACAGGTTATTCGTGTTATTATTGCAAACATCAATGAGACCAACTAAAACTATATATATGTTTCCAGTTGCCCTACCTACTGTCACCCTTAATTTTTTAGCCATTATATCTATATTAAGTAAGCACTGTTCAAGTTACAATGTCTTCTGTGTACATGTATATATTCTATATTAAAAAAAAATTATCAAAACAAAAAATAATTCCTTCCTACATCATGCACATTTATCTACCCTTTTTTCAACAATGGATCTGGAACCAAAAATAATATTTGATTTGGCCTAAAAATATTTATATAGTTTTGTATTTCAAATTGTCAGTTTCAGACTGATACATGATGATGTAGGTTTCAGATGATTTCTACAAAGGTCAAAATATAGAATGAAGGTAATATTATTCTTTTCGGTCCACTGAATTTAGATTAAGGATGTAACAAAGGCTAGAATGAACATGACACTTTTGAAACAGGAATATGATATATATCTAAAAGTGAATTTACCTCAGGGATAATATACACGATATATATCAGCTAGTAAAAAGTAAAATAACAAAAATACCAAACTCCAAGGAAAATTCAAAACGGAAAGTCCTTTACCAAATCATTTTATGGCAAAATCAAAAGCTCAAACATATCTTAGACAAATGGAAAACAACTGTCATATTCCTGACTTAGTAGTTCATATAAATCAGGCTAAATGTTTGATGTGTGAGCCAAAAAACGCCTACATGTTCCGCAATATAATATGGTCCAGTCCATTTTCGTTGAAGTTTGGGCGACGAGCCAACTGAAGTCCGTGTACAGTAAAGCCATACTTTATCTAATATATAAAAACTTGGTTCTTCTACGTTTTTGTCGTGTTGCGTCTTGTACTTCTGTTGTGCAGCTTCAATATTCGTCTTAGCTATTTTTCTGTCAGATATCAGTATTTATATTTTGGAAATTCTGTCCAGCATATTTCCATTATTAGTTTTTGCTTTGATACCAATCATGTCAGTGAGGGATATACATGTATCTTTAAACATCAAAATTGAAATAAATTAGCCACCTATAGATGTTCTGATTATCTAGATATTACATTTAAGAAAAAAGGACTAAAACATTGTAAAGTATAACAATAAAAAAAGGCACTGGCTACAATTACCCACAAAAAGTAACAATAAGAAATTATTAATGTTACTTCCTACACTAATTGCCGAAATGTGTCTCTGGAAACGGACCTGATTGAATACTGAAATTGCAGTAAACAATAATATCATTTTTTTATTGTTTACCTGCAAAATTTTACATTTGCAAATTATGTCTTTTAGTGTGTGTAGCATCAGGCTTTTTAGTACTGTCTTCTTATACATTGTTTTACATATTTCAACAAATTCATATGAATAGAAATTATTTATTGAACATAGCAATGATCAGTCAGGGGTGCTACTTAAACAAGTGATTTCATCATCACTTATTTCAGTGATTTGATAAATTCAGTTATCACCTATTTAAGTGATTTTAGTGTTTTCTTTGATCTTCAAATGCTAATTTCATTGATTTTCCATATTTTCACAATCTTTTCTATAATTTTCCTACATAAATCAATTATCCCTTTTTCTTTGTATATTAATTTCACCAGTGCGCTTGGGCAGTAAGTTAGTGCGCTAAAGCTTTTAAAAGTACCCTTGGGAATTTTTCTGTAATCAAAAATTCATTAACTACTCTTACTATCAGACAAAGATCAACAATATTAGGTAACCTGATTGGTTTTCTTTAGAGTTAGAATGATCTACTTCAAGGTTATGACCTGATCTACAAACTATTCCAGTTTTTGCATATTTTAAAAAAACTGTAAAAGTGTCAGGCTTATCAAGCAAAAGACAATTTCTGCATGTACATAGTTGTTTTTTCAATGGAATTGTTGTCTTTTTAACAATAAAAAAATCAAGCTTGTAGGAAAAATATCAAAAAAATGTTAAAAACACTTATTAAAGTGATTACATTTTAACTTCTAAAATTACTTGTTTCAGTGATTTTAAAAAGTCTGTGTGAAAATTTTTAATATTTCACAGCCAAAATCACTCGAGGAAGTGATTCTGAAATCACTTGTTTAAGTAGTACCCCTGACTGATGATAAATCAAAAACACATATAGACATATTAAGAATCATTTTAGCTTTTTATTTTGGTGGCACTTCATGCACATCCAGTATGTACATTTGAAAGACCTCTGTAGTGAGTTGTTTTAACGATCCCGTGAACGTCATATTGGTCAATACATTTGAAAGTTTAGCTATGTTTATGTTTTTAAATTTTTACATTATGATTAAATTGTTTAAACTTATTTCATAAATTGCTCACACATCAAACATTTTTTTCGATCAGAGTCCATTTGAAAATATTTTGTGGGTAACAATTACTGCAGCAGTGCAGGTACAATTAATGTAACAATATATTATTGGTTACCTGCAATCTTGGTATATACACTGTATGCAATCTGGTCCATGGTCCGAAAATACGATTCAACAACTAGTCTCAGAATTAATGTTTACTATTTCTTGTTACTTTTTGTGGTAATCATTTAGCCTGATTTATTATTTTAGTGCCTAAGAAAAAACTTAATTCCAACATAAAAAATAATTTTTGAGGAAAGATGTTAATTCCAACATAAAAAAAAAATTTGAGGAAAGAATTCCTTTTAAAATTATCTGTAGGTGTAAGGAAGAGTTAGAAAACAAAACTTTTGAATATTTTGGAAATATTCCATTCCAGCTGATTAGACACATGGGGATTTTGGATGTCCCCTCCCCCCTTTTCTGGCTTTTGCAAACTGTTGTCTGGTATATGCGAATTGTCAACATTTTGTAAAGTTGCTTACCTTTTAACGCTTGAAAATATGATTCGCGTCTTGAATAACATTCTGCCAATTTTTTCTTGGTAACGTTTTCCGCAGCACAAAATATAAATGTGAAGTCAGGGTCAATGCCAAACAACTGTTTCGACAATCTTGATCCGCGTTCAAACATTACAATAATATAGTTCTTATCATAGTATTTTAAAATGCGGTATGTATAAGTTGTTCAATAAAAAGTATTAAATCGTTAATTTTGTGTTTTTTTTTATCATACGTTGAATCATTCTTCATTTGAAGTGTTGTTTTATTGAGAGAAAAAAAGACTGCATATTTAACGAAATCATTACGCCAAGTTTGTAGGTGTGTAATTATAACCCAATCATGCTTCGCGTAACAAATAAGACTGGTTTCTAACTTGTAGAAGACCCCAGTCGATATAAAAAAAAAATGTAATTTTTGATATTTTTTTCAAATAGAAATTATGTTTTAAACAAATAAAATGGTAAGAACAAAAACTTATTGACATTTTTCTAAATCATGCATGTGTCAAATTAAAATTTAAAGGAAATCACTAAAGGTCCGTAAATGCGACGAGTCTCTCTGTGCTTTGTTTTGTGTTTAGATTTGAAGAGAATTTGGCCAATCAGATTGTAAATAACAAACGTAAATAATTTGTAGTCTGCTACAAATGAAAACAATCAACACATGGCAATGGACAGCTCAATTTTAAGGTTCGGATGCTTAATTTGCTCCCACATAATAATAGCGATAACGAGGACAAGTGTTTTTTAGTCTGGGATCCTGACACAATATTTGAATTGAAGCTTGAAAAATCGAAAATATTTCATCAAGATTTCAGGTCAAGTGTTTTTGTCCAAATTTCAAAAAGTCTGCAAGTCCCCCCCCCCCCCCTTTTCCCGTTTGTTTTTGGTGGTGTTCTTGTTGCTCAGCATTCTACATGGGTATTGTAATCCGTTAAGAGTCAGTTGACATCCCGTACGGATCTCCTGTAGTTGGTGATCGCAATACTGGTATATAATGGTTTACTTTTATAAATTTTGACTTGGATGGAGGATGGAGAGTTGTCTCATTGGCATTCATACCACATCTTCTTATATCTATATATATATACAAATTTTGTACCAGTATTGTAACTTTTGTTTTAAAACAACAATACTGGTACATTACTGATATACCAGTATTGTAGACAATATCTTGTGTATTTTTAAGTAAAATTAGATATTGAAGTTCAAAGGGGGGTTAAATGAACTCAAAACGATTATAGAAGATAATTGAATTATTAATTAAGTAACTCAACAACTAGTTAACATAATCATGATCCTCATAAGCCATAATTAACATCAAACAGATACAAATAAACAAAAGATTATTGTTATTAACTCATATTATTCAAACAATTGTTAATTATATAAAATAATTGTATAAGAATATAATATTCATGCTATCTTCATTTACTAAGATTTTGAATAGTTATCAGACACAAACAGCAACTACATGTACTTCAAGAACTGGTCGACTGAAGAATTAGATCAGGCAAACATATGTTTCACAACAAGACCTATAACCCCAATCACAGAATCTAGCTATTTACAAAGAAAATATAAAGAAAAATGAGGTCACAAGGAACAAGAAATTGGCATTCTGTATGGCTAAGGGAGAAGCAGATGAGGCCATGGGCCACACAATACGTAGCAGATATATCAAATGGTACATTCACTAGTACCACACGAGCAAAAGATGTTGCCACCATCCTATGGCATTAGCACATCAACATTTATCATTTGTTACATATCATGCTTTTATTTTATAATTAGTGCTAAAAAGGTACATTTCATATCAGTATTTATTATCCTTAAATTTATTATTATCATTTAGTGCCTGACTATCTATATGTCTAATCATTCAAATGTCTTATAGAATTGTCATGTCATTATTATGACATATACATGTATGTTAATTGCATTATGTGACACCTTTAATAAAAGATTAATTACCTATATGTCATGTATGTATTGTTTATTTAAAAAAAACACAATACTGGTACAATACTGGAATACAATACTGGTACACATTTTTTATACCAGTATTGTGCACAATACTGGTATACCAGTTTTGCGATCACCAACTACAGGAGATCCCATCTTACAACTGTTAGTGTTAAAATAAAGTTGTGGCGCCATCCAAATTGTGCTGTTTCAAAATAAGATACAGGTGCCATTGAAAATTAAAACATATTTCGTGTGTTGATTTTTCTCCGTGACAATTTATGATGGGATGCGGCGATTGTTAAATTGTCTTTTGGGATCATCAAATGATCTGTGCCATCGTTTCATAACTGTGCAATGATTGAAACGTGTATTCAAAAATTTATTTTCTTTTCACTAGCCAACGCCATTTGTGTTTGTTAGCAGTTATAATCTATCTATTGCCACAGGCACGTGTCTGAATTTTTTCCCCCTATATACCTTTATATATAATATAACACAAGGTACTTAACTTGCATTTTTGAAAGATGGCAATTGGTGGTGAACTTTTGTTATATTTCAAATCCACGGTTGTCTACCCCAATAAAACTTGTTATGCTGTAAATCTACATTGATTTATCTACACAATGGTGTATGACACATCTACCTTTGATGTCAGAATCATTCATAGCATGCCTTCCAAGAATGTCAAACGTAATTATTTCGTCTTCTCACAGCCCTTTTTTCAGAGATACATGTAAGTGCCTGTGTCAATTGCATGTTACTGAAAGACCTGAGAGATATCAGGGTTATGATGGCTAATCACTTGTACAGGTAGATGGACACACCTGACAGGAGAAAACATTGATCAAGACAGAAAATTAATTGCACTATTCAATTACTTTTCAGCAAATGCTAATGAAAATTTATATTAAACAAGTTAAAAATAAAATTTTAAATTCAAATACTATGAAAAAGATTTAGTAAGTGGAACAAATGATTTATTGACTTACGCAATCAGTCTAGCTGAGCTCACACAAAAATAAGTCAATTATTGGGACGCAAATATATTTTGACCACGATCAAAATGTTGTGAATATTGACTTCATCAAGTTGAAAATTTACAAAAATTTGCCTGCTTCAAGACAAATGAACAAATATCAGTCAGAGCTCAGACATAAATAAGTTTAAGTCTGCTTTTGACTCGTAGAGGTCTAAATTTGTAGGTTTCAAGATTTGTCTCCCATAACATGTTTAATTTAAGACAAATTATGACTTCAATAAGTCAATTAGTGTTGAGCAAGAAATATTTGACCTGAATTGAAGTTGCAAATATTGACTCCTACAAGTTGATAAAAATAAGTTACCAAAATTGGTCAACTTCAAGACCCAAGCATATTTATAAAAAGGTCATGCATCTACATGAAATTATGACAACATTGAAAGACAAGGCTTTGTCTTCTAAAGAAAAATATGCATCTGAGAGCCTAAAAAGACGGAGATAAATGTTTATTTACTTTACAATGCAACCATCTAACATGTCTATAACCACAGAAAATGAGGAAAATAATCTTATGTTAAGTAAAAATGTTCAATTAGATGATTAAATAGGTAGCTCAGGTCCTTGTGAACTCTCAGACAGGTTTATGATGTCATAGGTGGTGCACTTCAGCCACAAATTAAAATTAAGTCTTTTCATAAACATAAATAGACCTAAACAAGTCTGTTATTTTCTGACTTTAATAAGTCTGAAAATGAAAACACATTTTTATAATAAATACATTTTTTGACTTCTGTAAGTCAAAAACAAAAAAAACGCTTGTTTATTTCTGAGCTCTGGCTGAATATAAAAAGGTCAAGCAATGCATTAACATCAAATTGTGACAAATTTGTTAGGCAATGCTTTGTCTTCTGAATAAAAATGAATTGGAGTATAAATCAAAATATGTCCGCTATATTTTTATAGACAACTTTTGAATTCATGCACTTTTCCATAAATTTTCTTTGTCACAATGCTTATGTTATTACATGTACCATGATCATGATGATTACGTTGCAGTAAACACTAATTGTTGGATGACATTGTTTACACAGATTTACCTCGGGTCAACCAATGTAACTCATTCATAAAAAACAACTTAAGATTGTTCAATACAAATCATAAAAAACATATTTCTGAAGTTAGAATTTAAGTAAAATTGACATGCATCACAATATTATTGTCTTTTTTTCATAATTTACTATATAAGACCACTTAAAATATTATTTTCAGGTTTGGAGCTTGTTTTGGTTGTTTTTGGATTCTCATGGTATCCCTGTACAGGACCTCCACTTAACTTAGACATTTGTCAATGTAAATTTGTTCGGCATAACAGAAGTTCCTTTGGAAACTTTATTATAACCAATGTCATAATATCTGTTCCTGTTGGAAAAAATATTTTATACCCTTTATTCCATTAGAAACAAATACTGTAATATTAATTCTAAAGGAAATAATATTCCAGAATATTTCTTCCACATGGAACTTATATTATAAAGGAACTTCTATTTCATGACAGATTGCTACCCATAACAGAAAATTTCTAGTGAAATGAGCTAACTAAACTTATGTGCTAAAAAATTAGAATGAAAAAATTTTGACAGCATATTCATTCTTTTGTTTCTGTTTAGTCGTAGGGCTTTCTACAGATCTTTAAGGAATGATGATTTTTCAAAGACAAAATTCTCCCAGATCGTACCAGATAGAGAAGGGCTGTATTTAAAGAAGAAAGTTTTTTTAGGATATACAGATATTAGTGCAGCTGGCAGGTAAACAACAAGTACAAATCATGGGGTCAAAAATAAAATTAAAATTGTTTGATGTTGCCTACCCACCCTGGTGACCTAAAAAGCAGCCTACCCTAAAAAATCTATGACAAAAATCTTCTTTTTTTTTGAAGTTTTTTTCGTGCTCTAATGTTGTTTTCTTGTCTAAACCTGTAACTGATGTTGTAGGCCAAAAATAAAATAAAATAATATCCCTACCTACCTACATTTTGTACCTAACCCTACAAGGCATGGGTAGGCAACATCAAACAAAGAATTAGTTAAGGGTGGCCTGGTATAAATTTACATACAGTATGAACACGGTGATTTGCTTGTTCTTAGCTGATCTGGACCTTTAAGGACCATATGAGCTAATATTGCAATCACTTGGAGTCAATTATCTGTCATCCTTTCGAACTCTTTCAAAGATCTCACCCTAAACTATAGTACCAATTGAAACCAAAACATCACAGGATTCTTCTTTAGGATTTCTAGATAAAATCATCGTTGATACCAAGATTAAAATTTTGTACGCCAGATGCTCGTTTCCTCTACTGTAACAATAGACTCATCATAGACACTTGAATCAAAAAAGTTAAAAAGGGCAAAATAAAGTGTGAAGTCAAAAGAGCATTGAGGACCCAAAATTCCAAAAGGTTTGGCCAAATGGACGTTTAAATGTTATATTATAGTTAGTGCATTATATATTTTGACAACAATGGCCACAATGACTTAATATTAAGAACATGTGGGTAAAGTGCAATCAACCTTCTTGTCTATTATGAGGGTCTTGTTTGAGTTTACAGAAAAGAGAAAGAATTCTAAGAAAACACCAGAGATTAAAAGAGTCATTGCAGAAACTAAGAAAACAAAATTAAATTCATTTTAAAAAAAAACAAAACTTACACACACAACATTTGAAATATAAAATATTTGTTTACTCTGGGTTAGGACACATTTGCTACAGTACAATTAACACATGGTGATTCATTGAAAAATAATCTTGCTAGAGTTGAGTGATTCACAGTAAAACAGGTTAATTGCTGGTAGTTTAAGCCATTGTTAATGATATTAGTATGTTCCCATTTCAGTCGAGCTTTACTGGGTATATCTGCCAAGACGATATCATGTGATCTTGACATTCCAGAGCTGGGAACAAGTGAATTGATTTGTCGCCCAAGCACAGCTACCATGGATATTCCATTACTTCCTATACAGATAATGCATTGTAAATATGAAGAAGTAAGTTGAACTGAGGAAAGTGTGAATCCAGAAATTGGTGCGAACCCACATACATTTACATCAAGGTTCACATACATCCAACCTTTTATTGGTTCACATACATTAATAAACCTTTATTGGTTCACATACATTAATAAACCTTTATTGGTTCACATACATCCAACCTTTTATTGGTTCAGATACATCAATAAACCTTTATTGGTTCATATGCATCCAATCTTTTTATAGGTTCACATACATCCAACCTTTTATTGGTTCCCATACATCCAACCTTTTATTGGTTCCCATACATCCAACCTTTTATTGGTTCACATACATCCAACCTTTTATTGGTTCACAAACAGCAAGACACTTGTAATTGGTTCACATACAGCAAGAAACCTGTTATTTTCACATACATGTACATCCGACCTTTTATTGGTTCACTTACATCCAACCTTTTATTGGTTCACATACATTGAACCATTTTTATTTCAATTTTTATTTACTTTTTTGTTGTTAACAAACTCCCATATATGTTGATGCTTTATTTTGATTTATTGGAAGGCAACTGAAGCAGGAAAGTCCTTTTCAAAAATAGAAAAGAAAGAATTTGTTCATTGATTTGATTGTGCATCCTCAAAGGAATATAAAAATAAGATGGTTCTTTGCTTCAGGCCTTTTACCAAATGGAAACAGAAAACTGTATTAATTATATCTTGTGATCGCTATTTTGCCAGTATATTTGGTTTGATCAAGTCAGTGATCACTATTTTGCCAGTATATTTGGTTTGATCAAGTCAGTTAAAATTCTTATTTCTCAGCCAGACATTGTTTGATTAAAAATTACACATATGTTCCCTCAGGCAAAGCTGACTTAGATATATTTTACAATTATTTTTAGTTCCAATTTCATCAAATACCTCCTCATGTATTCAGATATATATATACATCATAAACATGTGGGTGTTTATTTACATATGCTTTTTTGAGACAGGTCTATGAATTTGTCACTTAATTTTCAATTGTACATTGAAGTTGTTGTCTAATATTATAATTATCAAATTTTCAGTGTATACTATTTATATTTATTTGCATAATAAATGTGCTTATGTGTTCTATATCTCCTATATATGGCAGAAACCTGTGTCTGATTTATTTAACCATTTCAATATGCTTTCACAGTTATAGATGCAATTATTTTCAAGGTAGGTAAAACATTTATTTTGGAATTGTTGGTATTGGTAGAATTTGCTTGATTATATTTACTGATAGTTACTGCTTGCTCTTTTACAGCTGTTTAACAAATTATAGTTACTGATAGTTAAGTAGTGCTTGCTCTTTTACAGTTGTTTAACAATATTATAGTTACTGCTTGCTCTTTTACAGTTGATTAACAATAGTATAGTTACTGATAGTTACTGCTTGCTCGTTTACAGTTGTTTAACAATACTATAGTTACTGATAGTTACTGCTTGCTCTTTAACAGTTGATTAACAATATTATATAGTTACTGATAGTTACAGCTTGCACTTTTACAGCTGTTTAACAATTTTATAGTTACTGATAGTTACTGCTTACTCTTTTACAGTTGTTTAACAAATTATAGTTACTGATAGTTACTGCTTACTCTTTTACAGTTGTTTAACAGATTATAGTTACTGATAGTTACTGCTTGCTCTTTTACAGTTTAACAATATTATAGTTACTGAGAGTTACTGCTTGCTCTTTTACAGTTGTTTAACAATATTATAGCTACTGATAGTTACTGCTAGCTCTTTTTCAGTTGTTTAGCAATATTAAAGTTATATTAGTTACTGCTTGCCCTTTTACAGTTATTTAACAATATTATAGTTACTGAGAGTTACTGCTTGCTCTTTTACAGTTATTTAACAATATTATAGTTACTGAGAGTTACTGCTTGCTCTTTTACAGTTATTTAACAATAGTATAGTTACTGAGAGTTACTGCTTGCTCTTTTACAGTTATTTAACAATGTTATAGTTACTGATAGTTACTGCTTACTCTTTTACAGTTGTTTAACAATATTATAGTTACTGCTTGCTCTGTATTGCTAGTTAGTATAAATAGCCACTGTTTCATTCAAAAGTTTTCTACATTCTGGACAATTTAGAGCTGTTTTGTAGACATTCTTTTCTATGCACGGTTGGAGACCATATATGTTATCCTGCAAAGTTCCTGTTGTTTTATTATTTGTTACTTTTGCAGAAGCATGTTGGATTGAACTCATTTGAATGTGGATGGATAAGGTCTCATTGGTTACATATTTTAAAAAAAACAGCAAATATTTTAAAAAGAATTCTACTGGAATATTCACTATAAAATTAGAGAATTCTCAGTGCTTATATAATTTACACTATATATTTTTAAGTGGAGATGTTGGATTATGCTGAAGAAATAATAATTTTGTGAATTATTTGTGATCAGCTATATTTTTACTTTTTATTTTTAAGTAATGAGGATACATCAATAATTGTGAAGTACTTATTTCTTGGATTGAGTGGTTAAAGTGAACCTCAATTTAAGTGTTCAGCAAAATACAAATTTCCTATAGGATTGTATGCTGAATAAGTTAAAATCACTATAGCAAATAGCAGCATGATCAACAAAAATAAAAAGTTTCCTTAAACAACAAAAAAGTGTACCAACATGACCAACAAAAATAAATGAATCCACAGTTTTAAAAAAAATCTTGATACTAAGGCTTTCATATATCATAGTGCAAAAACAATTTGTCTTTCTGTAATTCATGATCTAAAAAGTTATGTCCCTTTATGGAAAAACATTCTCACCTATTTTGTATGTCAATATTTTTTATTATACTTCATGTCAATATGCCAGATTTTGATTGGTTAATATGAGGGCGACAATTTACTCTATCCTATGGCAAATACTCTATTACCTTTCATAGAGACACTTGATCAAGTGTGCGTTTTAATAAATACGGATGATTGTTATGTACAAGAAGTCATAGTTTATTACTTTGAAATTTAATAGACAGTAATAACAGAACATTCAGTATAATAAATTAAATAATACATAGCTGAGAGGGTGATAGAGCAGATTGTAACCCCTCGAAAAAATATTGTCAAACTTGGCTTCGCCTCAGTTGACAATGTTTTCTCGGGTTGACAATCTGCTCTATCACCCTCTCAGCTATGTGTTATTTATATAAAATCTCTTTATAATGTTAAACACTTTGATTTCTAAGCCTGTCACTAACTTTTAATGCATTGTTAATTGTCTAAAATTACTGTATATTTATAATTCCTGTGTAAAAATTATCTGCTAACTAAATAAATTATGTAGATTCCCTGAAAAATTCAAACTTTATTTGGATTTGGAAAAGAATCCAGACATGTTTCCTTCATTTATGAAATTATTGGCACATATTGATTTTGTTGATTAAATTAAATATATATTTTTTGTTTTTGTTTTTTTTATCATTTTTTTCAATTGAGAGTCTGGTGTCAAGTTTAATAGGACATGTAAAAACTATATTATTTTTTTCAGTTTTCATTGATTGTGATAAATACATCTTTGCCTCCATCAAAATGTCACCTTGTAGCAGATAAAATTGTTAACCTGTGTTCAGAAAGGTATGATAATAGAACAGGTGATGTGCTGCTTTTCTACAATTTATTTTATTTTGGTATTACTTTAATAAAAAAATGTGTTACCTTTCTGAAAAATAATGTGCAGGTGATAAAAAAAAATCACTCAGTATATTTGCAGCACATTAATATATAGAAAATAGGTAATTGCTCATAAGGGCTATTTCATAAAAACATACATGGGACCCATGGAAGGCACATTTAAATCTCAACTATGAGGGGTCTCAAGTATAGTCAGTCTTATTAAAATACAAATGTTATGCCCACGCTTCCCTTGCGAGAGTCTGACACCACTCTTTTCTACTTTTTGTTAGGGTAATTATAAGACCAGCCATTGAAATTTCTGCCTTCTAATTTTTGAAGGTGAGTATCATCATGACAAAAACAATGGATCCTGAAATGTCTTTAAAAAAGAAAGTCGAAAGGTGTTGTCAGATCTTTGTGAGCAAAACATGGGCACAGGATTCGTATTTAAATCTGATGGCAGTACAGTGGAAATGTTTGTGAAATTCTAAATTTGCCTGAATAGATTGGGTAGTTATATTTAAAGGCCCTGGGAACCATTTATGTTTAAGTCCAGGTAGTGAAACACACATTTGATTGGCATGTACATCAAATTAGGTTAACTACTGTGCACCCTGACAGAATCAACTAACATAGAAATAAGAAGATGTGGTATGAGTGCCAATGATATAACTCTCCATCAAAGTCACAATGTGTAAAAAGTAAACAATTATAGGTCAAAGTACGGGCGGCCCCGACCTTCAACACCGAGCCTTGGCTCACACCGAACAGCAAGCTATATAGGGCCCCAAAATAACTAGTGTAAAACAATTAAAACGTACAGGAAAACCAACGGTCTAATCTATACAAAAAACGAAAAACACTTAAGAACCACATCAACAAACGACAACCACTAAAACAGGTTCCTGACTTAGGACAGGTGTAAACAAATGCAGCGGGTTTAAATGTTTTAACAAGCGCCAACCTTCACTCTAATCTGAAATAGTAGTGTAACATTACAACATAGAAAGTCATGTCAGTATAAATGATTGCAATACCAAGGCTTCACTAATTAAATATGTAATCTACAAATCTTCAGTACATATTATGATGTAAATATATTTCAATTATTTTAGCCATTTTCCCATCATCTTTTCCTCAATTTTGAAATCAGCAAATGATACTTAACACCAAATTTGTACTGAGGATGAGCCACACATTGGGTCCCACATGTGGTGCAAGATATACTTACTCTTCTTGAGCAGCTGTTATCACCCCTGGTTTTGTGTGAGGTTGGTGTTGCTCAGCCTTTAGTTTTTATGTAATGCTTTGTAGACTATATTTCAGAATCTTTTCTTTGTATACCGGGGTATATACTTCTGTATTTATTCTATTGATATTTTGGTTTTTATTATATGCTTATTTCAGTATTTATATATACTTTGTATATTTCAGTGAAATAGAAAGGTTGGTAGTATTAACAACTTTAAAATTAAGAATTCCTGAGAAGAAGTTGGCACCACTGTATGAAAACAGCTTCAATACAAGATCTTGTAAGTCTATTAATGGTTGGTGGGGGTCTTCATCTCTCTTATTCTGGTTTTTTTTTTAGCATAAGGCCACTTTTCTCTACTGTTTTTTTTTTTTTTTTTTTGTCAATTTTACTCTATTCATTATATTTAAGCACCCCATTATTCTCTATTCTTTATTTGGTTTGCATATTTTTCTCTAGTCTTTATTTTTTTGTCCTTTATTCTCTATTCTGTTAACCCCTACCAGACTCTCCATTATGTACTATAACATATCACTAGAGGTGTTTGAAATATCTCTTTTGATGCTCAAGTTGGAATAGAAAGGATGTGAGGGGAATTTTAAAAGAAGGTGGACCTAATTCAAAGGCCATAACTTTTTAAAATTGCTGTTACGTTTGTGTCAGCCATTGTCATAAATAAATTTCAAGCTTCTAAGTAACACAGATTTTTATGCCCCACCTAAGATAGTAGAGGGGCATTATGTTTTTCGGTCTGTGCATCCGTTTGTCCGTCCGTCTGTCCCGCTTCAGGTTAAAGATTTTGGTCGCTTCAGGTTAAAGTTTTTGGTCAAGGTAGTTTTTGATAAAGTTGAAGTCCAATCAACTTGAAACTTAGTACACATGTTCCCCCATGCTATGATCTTTCTAATTTTAATGCCAAATTTGAGTTTTGACCCCAATTTCATGGTCCACTGAACATAGAAAATGATAAAGCAAGTGGGGCATCCTTTTACTATGGACACATTCACATGAATGCTTCCAAGTTGAAGGCCGTACTTTGACCTATAATGGTTTACTTTTACAAATTGTGACTTGGATGGAGAGTTGTCTCATTGGCACTCATACCACATCTTCTTATATCTATTAAAAAGTATTGATGAAACTGACTATTACAAACACATTGGTGATTTAATGAGTTATCTCCCTTAACTCAGAGACATATCACTTGTTTTTGTTGTTCTTCATTTTTAACAGTTGATAGATGGTCTTTTATGATGAACAGTAGACTTACTGAATTTAATGTATGTGCATTTTGTACGTAGGAATAACAAAAATAATTAAATAGAACCTCAAAATTATTTTTTTTTTTTATTAAATGAGCCTATCTTTTGAAGCAATGTTATGACCAATCATATTTCATCAAAGCAAATCATATTGCCAGTATTTTTAACTTCTTATTTTTACTTTGGATTGAGATTTTAATGTAGAAAATATGTTAACTTTATTATATACACCTACAAAAAATGTGATGTAAAATGAACCAAAACATTATAAGCTCAAAGTCGTTATCAAATGTATATAATATTTTAAAAAGAGATTTCTATGAAAAATTCTTGTTGAAAACTTCACAAATAAACAAATTAAAGAAATTATTGAATTAATGAAATTTTGGAGAGATCGTAAGCTTATAGGTGAACTTTGAGTGTACAAAGACGAAGAACCACTTTAATATAATGGGCTTAAAATATTCCAATAACTCTGTTAAAAGGGGAATAATAAATTTAGATATAAATCAAGCAAAATATGTATTTGAATAAACAAGAAAATACATACACAAACATTGGCTACTTCATCAGATCAGGTAACTCACTATCTGTCAAAAAAAAGTAGTGAGTCTGTATCGGGTGGACTTTGAATCTGTACATTTTAATGGATTTAAGTTTGCAAATTAACCTTTTCAGAATCTAAAGAACCATGTGTAATTTCATTGTTCATACCCCAAAATGCTAATAACATTACGTCATTGGTTGAATTTCTTTTGATTATGATGTTTTTAACCAATCACAACATTTTGGTGGACACTTTTGAAAATATTATCCAGAATGCATTAGATTCTTAAACAGAGAATTGAAGGACTGTTTTCTTATATATTATATTTTATTTTTTGCAGTAACCACCAGTCCTTCATTACCAGATAATACCAAAGTTCATGACGCCTTCTTAAATGTTTTAATACAGATGGTTCAGGTATGTTAAATGATTTGCATGAAAAATATCTTAGATGATTGATTGATTGTTGGTGTTAAATGCTGCTTACAGCACTCTTGGCTTATTCATGGTAGCAAGTGTTTATTATTGGAGGAAGGCGGAGTACCCAAAGAGAACCACCAACCCTCTGCAGAAATTTGGCAACCCTAGTCAATTAAGATTGGACAGGAGTTGGGTTCCAACTCATACATCAAGTGTTCACCAAGATAAACTACTACAACCACTCAGCCACTGAGCTCACTTAAATATTTAAGACATCTGACCTTGTGTTTGAAATTATTTTATAAATTGAGGCAGGTGTATAAAAATTATTTCATATTCCTAAAATACCTTGTTACAGGAAGGAGGTTCCTTGCACAGTGGTCTGTGACACCAGTTGATTAAGTTCCTGTAGATGTAAATTAACACTTATAAAGCATTTTTTTCTTAATTTACCTTCATATAGAACATTTAAACTTAAAAATTTGAAAGCCAATCATGTATAAATACTTAAGGAGCTTCAAGACCAAATTTAAAGTAGAACTTAGTTTATATGAAATTGATACGACATATAAATAAGACAACTACTATCAAACTATGTTGGTAAATTCAGATATTTTTCAGATGTTTTTTTTGTTATTATTGCAGTACATGTATATGTGACTGGATGGGTCTCACAAAAATAAAAACTTTGCGTCTATGATTTTTTTACTTCATTATTGTATACATTAAATTCCCTGAAAATACAACAATCAAAATTGCATTTTTGTCAACTATGCAACAATCAAAATCATATATAACAGCAAAAGATTATAAATTTAGGGTATTGCCCCATTCCAATCAATAGTTCAAATTGAATGTTTCAGTTACAAGGAATTCCATGCAACATCATGACAGCTCCAGGACACAGTGCCTTCAGTAGTGTACCCAGTACTGATGATAACTCATTACAGGTAATGGTGTGAATAAAAAAAACGTGGGATGTACGTCAGGGTATACAAGACTGCAACACTTCAACAAAAAAACAAAAAAACATCTATTGGTCAACATACAGTCTTAAATAATTGACAGCTGTCTTAATTTACATGCTTAATCGTACTTTATAAAAACTCTGATTCAACCAGAAACTGACATTATCAAGATGCTTGATTTCTTAATTGATAACATATTTGTTACGTTTGGAGTACATGTTTTTCAACAAACAATCTGCATTCCTCATGGGAACCAACTGTGCTCCTCTTCATGCCGACTTGTTCCTTTATTCATATGAGGCTGACTTCATACAGGAACTTCTTAGGAAGAAAGAAAAGTGGTTAGCAGTATCTTTTAACTTCACTTCCTGTTATAAAGATGTTCTCACATTAAAAATTTGATGACTTTGTTGAATGCTTCTATCCCATTAAATCTGAGATAAAGGATACAACAGATACAGTTAAGTCTGCCTGATATCTTGACTTACATCTAGAAATTGACAATAATGGTCGGTTGAAAACCAAACTTGACAACAAAAGAGATGATTTCAGCTTCCCAATTGTGCACTTCCAATTTTTAAGTAGTAATATTCCAGCAGTACCTGCATATGGAGTATATATCTCCTAGTTGATACGATATTCCAGAGCTTGTATTTCCTATCATGATTTCCTTGATAGAGGGTTGCTGATCACAAGGAAGCTATTAAACCAAAAGTTCCAAGTGGTGAAGTTGAAATTGTCCCTTCGTAAATTTTACGGACACCATCACAAGTTGGTTGACTGTTATGGAATATTAGACTTATCACTGGGTTTGTACTAACATGAGCAACTCGACGGGTGCCACATATGGAGCAGGATCTTCATACCTTTCTGAAGCACCTGAGATCACCCCCAGTCTTTGGTAGGGTTCGTGTTATTCAGTCTTTGTTTTTCTATGTTGTATTTTGTGTACTGTTGTTTGTCTTTTTTCTTTTTTAGCCATGGCGTTGTCAGTTTATTTTCAACTTAAGAGTTTGAATGTCCCTTTGGTATCCTTCACCTCTCTTTTACAGCTTATTAAAATACATTAAGAAATGACTTATTGATTGTTGGTGTTTTACAACATTTCAGGACTATTGGCTATATAATGGCAGTCAGTTTTTATTGGTGAAAAACTTAGTGATCCACAGATCAATGATGAAACCAAAAATACTATAAATTCAGATATTTTTGCGTTCATTAATTATATAGCGATTGTTGAATAATAGGCTAAAATGTTATTTTAATTTTTGTGATCTCAGTAAATTCTGCATACAAGCTTGCTGTCAAAATGTCTAATGCAAGTTTTTATTTTTGAGAGACCGATCATGTCATATTCTTGCAATAATAAGAACATCACAAAAATATCTGAATTTACAGTATCTGTTTATTGCAGGCTATTCGAGAGTTCCATCAGTTTATAGGTGGCTGGACCAGACTAAAGTTTGATGAAGAAGTTTGTCTGTCATTGGTATGTTAGACATAATATACCAATTTATTTCAATAGAAAATATGCCTGCAAAAGATAATCGTAGAAAAGTTATAATGGGGGGGGGGGGGGGGGGGGTGCTCAAATTAATAAAAGATTCACATCTGTAATGTTGAATTTTCGTAACTGTTAAACAATAGATTTTTTATTCATTATTTAAACATTCAATAGATATAAGAAGATGTGGTATGAGTGCTTATGAGACAACGCTCCATCCAAGTCACAATTTGTAATTCAAAGCCAATTTGAGTACTTTGAACTTTGACACATTCGAGATAAAAAGGGGGAAAGAAATATCAAAGGGGCAATCAAAAATCATCTGTCTTAGAAAGACTGACATCCCATGGCCAAAAAAGACAAACAACAGTCCACCAAACAATAGATAGGTTTAGATTGGCACAATTTTGGCAAGAGTTACTTCCCTTTTGTTGCCATGTTGGAGGTCTATGTGCACAAATTCCTTCATAAATTAGCCAAATCAGCTTGTTATACTCACTGCTAGACTTTAGAAAATCTAATTTTCTAAACAATTTTAATTTCTTTTAGCCTTACTTGATTCATCACTACGATCTAGAAAGGATCTCTTATCAGACGATTTTCAATTTGGTTAGTCAAATAAGAAAATCAACTGTTTATCCCCTAAAATGGTGTCCAAGGGAAATAACTCATACTTGAATTATGTTATTTGAAACCTATCTATACTCAGAAATTAAAGATTCAGCAACACGAACCCCATAAAAATTCATTGATCCAGAAAGGTAAGTTCTTCTGCCATACCAGAAGCACCAATTTATACTACATATTAGCAAATAGACTAGTAAATAAGCCACTTTTGTGAGAACTTTCTTAATTTAATCAAGTTTACAAAGGTATTTAATCAGCCAACTGTTTTCAAACAAAATGAAATATAGGGTTGAGTACTCAACTACATGTTTAACCCAGCCACTATCCTTATGTCAAGTCAGAAACCTGTAATTCAGTAGTTGTTGTTTGCTGTCATTTATGTTTGTTTTTCACTTTTTATACGCCCGTCAAATTTTTGACGGGATGTATTATGGTATACAAATGTCCGGCTTCTGTCCATCTATCTGTCCGGGGTAAACATGTCGCACTGTAACTTGAGAATGACTTATCCAAATTTCATGAAACTTAACATAGTTGTTTCTTATGATGGTCAAACGATCTGTATACTTTTTTTTAAAAGGGGGGTTTTTACATGTCGCGCCGTATCTCAAAAACGATTTATGATTATTGCTTAAAATTTTACACACTTCTTAGTTATATTAACCTTAAGATCTGTATACTTTTTGGTGATGATTCAAAATTTTATTTTTGAGTTATTGAGTATTTTGTAAAAAAGGGGGGAGGGGTATTTCACATGTCGTGCCGTATCTCAAAAACGATTTATGATTATTGCTTAAAATTTTACACACTTCTTAGTTATATTAATCTAAAGATCTGTATACTTTTTGGTTTTGATTCAAAATTTTATTTATGAGATATTGATTTTTTTTTTTTAAAAGGGGGGGTTTTTACATGTCGCGCCGTATCTCAAAAACGATTTATGATTATTGCTTAAAATTTTACACACTTCTTAGTTATATTAATCTGAAGATCTGTATACTTTTTGGTTTTGATTCAAAATTTTATTTTAGAGATATTGAGTTTTTTGTAAAAAAAAAAAGGGGGGGTTTTCGCATGTCACGCCGTATGTCAGAAACTATTTATGCTTATTGCATAAAAATTCACACACAAGACGACGGGCGTATCATGCCCTCATGGCACAGCTGTTTATTTGTTTTGTCAGAAGTCAGGCCATTTGTTATCTTGTCTGAATTGTTTCACATTTAGTCATGTTTCAGTTTTTATAGCTGACTTTGTAATGGTTTTTTCTCATTGTTCAAGGCTGTATGTAGATCTAAAGTTGCATACAATCATGTCATTTGGACTTTTGTGGATAGTTGTATCATTGGCAATCGTACCACATCTCCTAATTTACAAATCTGGGGTTTCCAGAAAAGTGCACTCAATGTGGATCCAGCAATTGTGTAAAGGTCTTGCGAAGAGTCGGTAATAAATACTTGCCTTCACAATCTACTCTAAAACAGAAATTTACTTGTTCTTGCCCCCGAGAAAGAGTGGCTAAAGTATTATCTACATGTGTTGATCTTAAGAATGTTCACTACTCTGGTTTTTATATGCCCGTGAAAATTTTGACGGGACATATTATGGTATACAAATGTCCGGCGCAAACATGTCGCACCGTAACTTGAGAACAACTTATTCAAATTTTATGAAACTTAACATAGTTGTTTCTTATGATGGTCAAACAATCTGTATACTTTTTGGTGAAAATAAGATTAAAACTTTTTGAGTTACGGGACTTTATAACTAAAACAGGGGTGTGTATTTTCACATGTCTCGCCGTATCTCAAAAACGATTTATGATTATTGCTTAAAACTTTACACACTTCTTAGTTATATTAATCTAAAGATCTGTATACCTTTTGGTGATGATTCAAAATTTTATTTTAGAGTAACATGTATTTTGTAAAAAAAAGGGGGGCGTTTTCACATGTCGCGCCGTATCTCAGAAACTATTTATGATTATTGCATAAAACTTCACACACTTGTTAGTTATATTAATCTGAAGATCTGTATACTTTTTCGTGATGATTCTTTATTTTATTTTTGAGTTATTGAATTTTTATTGAGCTTTTTGTTTGGTAAAAAAGGTCACATTTTGCCCTTACCTCAATTGCTTAAAAGTTTTGCCGGGTTTCCATATACATCCCACCAGCACCTCCACTAAATAAAGGGGGATTTCAGAGGAATGAGTCAGGATATACTTAGCATGACTTCCTGTACAACCCCCTTGTTATTCCCAAAACATTTATTATGTTTATTTCACAAGACGACGGGCGTATCATGCGCTCATGGCGCTCGTGGAGCAGCTGTTTATTGAATTTTTGTCAGATATTAAGAATCCTCTAGTTTTATCCATTTAGTGATAATAAAATTTTGCCCACTAACTCTTACTTTTCTTTTCATTGTTTTCTGTCATATTGTTTGAAAAGTCATTTTTGAAAGTCTTATAAAATCCTTGTTATTTTTTCATAGTTTTTGAAAGAAACAAGGTGCCAATGTTAAATGTATGCAAAATCTACAGAATTATTTTCTGCCAAATTTTCCATTGATTATATCTTAAAAACAAGGACATCCTTTAATCAAAAAATGAACTTTCAATGGTGTTTTTAGATGCATTGTATCTTGTTCATTTCAGGAATTTGGTAGGTCAAAGAAGATTAGAAGAGCAGGAACATTATTCATGTTTTCATAAAGACATTCAAATAAACTGCGTGAGATACCATCTCGTCTAGGACACAGATTTTGATCAGAGTTCTAGAAATCTTTTTTTACCCTGGTGGTCCTTGAAGAAAATCTGCTGGTCCTCATTATTAGTTCTATTACAAAATACCAAAATTTTGGTGGTCAAAATCTTCGGACCACCACTTTTTGACAACTCTGATTTTGATTCCTCTCTTACAAATTTAAAATGTCCACATCTCTATCATGTCTATACGACATGAAGATATTATTTACTTACCTTCTTGAGAAACTGTTTTTAAAGAAAAGACCAATTGCTGTTTCAAAATGCAGACTAAATGAGAGGCCACCTAGCTACTTTAGAAACGTTTTTTAAAGAAAAGACTGTCTGCTGTTTTAAAATGCACACAGCATGAGAGGCCACCCAGCTATTTAGAAAACTGTTTTTTCTTTTAAAGAAAAGACTGACTGTTAGTTTAAAATGTCGACTGCAAGAGTCCAGTTTGTGACAAAGTGTTAGGGCTTTTACTGTATAAGTTTGACCTGATTGAGCATGGCTTCAAGGTCTTTATAATTAAGAGTTGTTCTCTAAAAGTGAGGGCAAACAGTCATACCAACTTCTCTTCATCCAACGATTCTCAAGTTCTCATTGACATCCGTACTATTCATTAGTATTTAGATATATTTGAAACTAGCCATTGTATGGCATATCTTATGGTTCATTTTAAACCTGTTATCCTTGTTTTAAATTAAAATGCCACTAGATTGACAACAACACTTAAGTAATCTGGAAATTTATTAAGTCGACATGTTTCGCCGATTAGATCGGCGTCATCAGGACAAAGTACAAATAAAAGTAATCTCTGAAGTACTAAAATGCGACATCAAGTTTTTTACGTCATAGTGTTCTATTATTGTCCATGTTGTTATGGGTTACTTATGTATTGAATGTATTTAGTGAAAGAAAATGAAATATGTTAATAAAGTTATACAGTTTTGAGAATAAATATATAATAGAATAAAATAATTTAAAAATTAAAATGTTTTTATCTACTGTTTGTCACTGGTGAAAATGTTGTATATTCCTCGGACTGTCACTTGGCTTATCCAGTTGTTTTCTGTGGGTTCATCTCTACATACTGTTTGTTGGCTTGAACTCTGAACTGGTCCCTTGTATGTTTTGTAACAGTTTGTAGTCTGGTAAGTTGGTACTTCTTCAACTAGATATCCGTAGCTGTTTGTGCTATATTTCGGCGATCCTGTTGTTTTAACATATATAACATTGTCATCTGAATCTTCCGAATCACTGAGTTGTAGATCTTCTTTAAGTATATCCATGGATGGCATTTCTGGTGTCTCTTGTATTTTGATTGGAGTTGGGGCTGTGTATTTTGGTGGCGCTGCGATGATCCTAAATTTTGGTGTCATTTCATATTTGGTTTTGGCTTCTACAGGTGGAACCCATTTGGCAATTGGGTCAGCTGCGGCTTTTGGTGTTGCTGTTTTCTCAATAAAATCTGTTGTTGGTTTCTGCTGGAGTTTTGTTGTTATGTGCTTCTTAGCTCCATGTTTCCTGGTGAATGTTGCTGGGCAATGAAGGCATTCAAAAATTGTAACAGTTGGTTCATGAAAAGTTTTGTGATGTCTGCGGAGTGTACTGATGCTGGCGAATTTTTTATCACATTTTAAACATTGGATTCGTGTCTAAGATTTTTCCACCAGATTCTCCAAAGCATTCAACTTTTCTCGGAGTTGTTTTCGTTTTGGCCATGTTATCTTCTTCTATTTAGTCCCCAAGGTTCGGCAGATTACTTAAGTGTTGTTGTCAATCCAGTGGCATTTAGATTTTTTCTTTCTTTTGACAACCCTGCATACTGTCGGTATCCACTTAAGGAATCTCTACCTTCACGAAACTTTAGAGGCATTGGTTCAGCAGTCCTTCATTGTTTTAAATTAGTTTTATAAAAATATTGTTTTTTTATGATGATTTTCATGGACATCTATATTTTGTTCTTGTTAATGCATACTGTTTTATAGTGCCATGTATACATTGAATTACATTATTATTTTAGTGTTATCCCTTGTTTTATCACTTTTAATAAAAAAATATATGAAATACTGTCATTTTTGTAGAAACCCATAATATATAGTTTGAGCTGGTATTTTCATTACTTCAAAATTGAGAATGGAAATGGGGATTATGTCAAAGAGACAACAACCCGACCAACGAGCAGACAACAGCCGAAGGCCACCAATGGGTCTTCAACGCAGCGAGAAAATCCCGCACCCGGAGGTGCAAATGTCTGTTAAAGTTCAACCCATTGTACACTGTGCATAGATGAAACAAACTTTAGCTGAATGATCTGAAAAAGACTTTGTATGGGCTTTGCTCATTGTTGAAGGCCGTACCGTTACCTATAGTTGTTAATTTCTGTATCATTTGGTCTCTTGTGGAGAGTTGTCTCATTGGCGATCATACCACATCTTCTTATTTTTATTTTTATCAGTAAAGACTATACATTTTATTGAGTCAAGGGATTGCATTCCATATATGCACTTGCAGCTTTCTGATTTTATTTTCTTTACAATGAAGTATGTTATGATGAGACTAAAAAAAGTTCAGGTAGTACTTTTCTTCAATCATAAAAATTGAATATATAATAACTTTAAAAAAAAGATCAGGTATTGTATTTCAATAATTTTACAAAATTAGGGGTAAATTTGTATAGGCAATAGTTAGCCACCTACAATGGGCAGGTGAAAATAGTTAAATACATCTGCATTAGGTGATTTGTAAATAAAATTACACAGAAATCAAAGAACTGTTATGTTCCTTCCTTGGAATGACCGCTTCCTTTACATTGTTCAAACTGTTATGTTCTATCCATGGAATGTCCTCTTCCTTAACATTGTTCAAACTGTTATGTTCCATCCCTAGAATGTCCTCTTCCTTTACATTGTTCAAACTGTTATGTTCCATCCCTGGAATGTCCTCTTCCTTTACATTGTTCAAACTGTTATGTTCCATCCCTAGAATGTCCTCTTCCTTTACATTGTTCAAACTGTTATGTTCCTTCCTTGGAATGTCCTCTTCCTTTACATAATTCAAACTGTTATGTTCTATCCATGGAATGTCCTCTTCCTTAACATTGTTCAAACTGTTATGTTCTATCCCTGGAATGTCCTCTTCTTTTACATTGTTCAAACTGTTATGTTCTATCCATGGAATGTCCTCTTCCTTTACATTGTTCAAACTGTTATGTTCCTTCCTTGGAATGTCTTCTTCCTTTACATTGTTCAAACTGTTATGTTCTATCCATGGAATGTCCTCTTCCTTAACATTGTTCTAACTGTTATGTTCTATCCCTGGAATGTCCTCTTCTTTTACATTGTTCAAACTGTTATGTTCTATCCATGGAATGTCCTCTTCCTTTACATTGTTCAAACTGTTATGTTCTATACATGGAATGTCCTCTTCCTTTACATTGTTCAAACTGTTATGTTCCTTCCTTGGAATGTCCTCTTCCTTTACATTATTCAAACTGTTATGTTCTATCCATGGAATGTCCTCTTCCTTAACATTGTTCAAACTGTTATGTTCTATCCCTGGAATGTCCTCTTCTTTTACATTGTTCAAACTGTTATGTTCTATCCATGGAATGTCCTCTTCCTTTACATTGTTCAAACTGTTATGTTCCTTCCTTGGAATGTCCTCTTCCTTTACATTGTTCAAACTGTTATGTTCTATACATGGAATGTCCCCTTCCTTTACATTGTTCAAACTGTTATGTTACTTCCTTGGAACGTCCTCTTCCTTTACATTGTTCAAACTGTTATGTTCTATCCATGGAATGTCATCTTCCTTAACATTGTTCAAACTGTTATGTTCTATCCCTGGAATGTCCTCTTCTTTTACATTGTTCAAACTGTTATGTTCTATCCATGGAATGTCCTCTTCCTTTACATTGTTCAAACTGTTATGTTCTATCCCTGGAATGTCCTCTTCTTTTACATTGTTCAAACTGTTATGTTCTATCCATGGAATGTCCTCTTCCTTTACATTGTTCAAACTGTTATGTTCCTTCCTTGGAATGTCCTCTTCCTTAACATTGTTCAAACTGTTATGTTCCTTCCTTGGAATGTCCTCTTCCTTTACATTGTTCAAACTGTTATGTTCCTTCCTTGGAATGTCCTCTTCCTTTACATTGTTCAAACTGCTATGTTCCTTCCTTGGAATGTCCTCTTCCTTTACATTGTTCAAACTGTTATGTTCTATCCATGGAATGTCCTCTTCCTTTACATTGTTCAAACTGTTATGTTCCTTCCTAGGAATGTCCTCTTCCTTTACATTGTTCAAACTGTTTTGTTCTATACATGGAATGTCCTCTTCCTTAACATTGTTCAAACTGTTATGTTCCTTCCTTGGAATGTCCTCTTCCTTTACATTGTTCAAACTGTTATGTTCTATACATGGAATGTCCTCTTCCTTAACATTGTTCTAACTGTTCTGTTCTATCCATGGAATGTCCTCTTCCTTTACATTGTTCAAACTGTTATGTTCCTTCCTTGGAATGTCCTCTTCCTTTACATTGTTCAAACTGTTATGTTACTTCCTTGGAATGTCCTCTTCCTTTACATTGTTCAAACTGTTATGTTCCTTCATTGGAATGTCCTCTTCCTTTACATTGTTCGAACTGTTATGTTCCATCCCTAGAACGTCCTCTTCCTTTACATTGTTCAAACTGTTATGTTCCATCCCTGGAATGTCCTCTTCCTTTACATTGTTCAAACTGTTATGTTCCATCCCTAGAATGTCCCCTTCCTTTAAATTGTTCAAACTGTTATGTTCCTTCCTTTGAATGTCCTCTTCCTTTACATTGTTCAAACTGTTATGTTCTATCCATGGAATGTCCTCTTCCTTAACATTGTTCAAACTGTTATGTTCTATCCCTGGAATGTCCTCTTCTTTTACATTGTTCAAACTGTTATGTTCTATCCCTGGAATGTCCTCTTCCTTTACATTGTTCAAACTGTTATGTTCCTTCCTTGGAATGTCCTCTTCCTTTACATTGTTCAAACTATTATGTTCTATCCATGGAATGTCCTCTTCCTTTACATTTTCCCCCGAGTTCATGTATTATTGGACTAATCTGATATTAGAGTGTAGGATGGTATAATTTGAAATCAGCAAGTTAAATAATTTGAGCTTGCTTTCAGTAACTGCAAACAATGGGGATAAAGATTGTATTGCAATCAAAACGCTTATAGGACTGGCTGGATAGTTTCGAGATGGCATTATCATTAATTTTGAGAGCAAAAAAAAATGTATTGGGTACAACATTCTATACATCCTATCCATGTACGAGGGTCTGGATGCGGGTCCTTCATTTCTGTATTGTTTGATTTTTTAGGCCATTTTTTCTCTATTCTTTATTCTTTTCATACGGCCGCAAAAAAATTTGCGGTTGTATATTGGTATCACGTAGTCGTCGTCGTCGTCCGAAGACAGTTGGCTGGGGGGTTCTGATCCCGGATCCCGCTTACTGTTTTGTCAGATTCCCGTATCCCGCTTACACTATGTACGAAAGCAATTCTCATTTTTTTGTAATTTCCCGTGTCTCGCTAGACTTCATTTCCCGTATTCACGGCACAATAATTTGACTTTCACGTGTCACGCTTACGAAAAATCGGCAATCCCGGGTCACGCTTAAGCCCCAATGAGACCCACTTGGCTTCCAGACAATAACTTTAGTATAATTAAATAGAAATCTATGAAATTTTAACACAAGGTTAACAACCACAAAAGAAAGGTTGGGATTGATTTTTGGGGTTATGGTCATAACAGTTTAGGAATTAGGGGCCAAAAAGGGACCTAAATAAGCATTTTTTTAGTTTCCAGACAATAACTTGTGGAACGGTGTATAGATCACTCTGAAATTATACCACAAGTTTCCATACCACAAAGGGATGGTTAGGATTTGCTTTTGGGGGTTCTGGCTCAAAACGTTTAGGAATTAGGGGCAAAAAAGGGGGGGAAACAAGGGTTTCCTGGTTAATGGACAATTAAGACAATTTAAAAGCAGTGTAAGGGAGGTAATCCAAACACAACGTTTTGATTACCTCCTTTACACTGCTTTTAAATTATGTATAAAGAAATGCTGTATTGTCTTGAGATGATTAGCTGTCAATTTATTTTTAGAAGTTACTATTAAGGAATATTAATTTTAGCGATGATTATGTATGTCATTTTCTATTTTAAGACTTTTATGATGAATTTAAATGGGTAATTATGGTTGCTAACTCCATTGGAAATTTGAATTGAGATTATGACCATATCTTTAGGGAAAGATTTTTTTGGGGGAAAAAGGGGGGGGGTAAAAAGAAATTGTTGGGGGTCAATTTTTTCTCATTTCAGATTTCAGAAATTAAAAAGAAAAATTCTTCAAATATTATTTTTCTTGAAAAAAAGGGGGGGGGGGGTCAATACGCAACAGCATAGTGTATTGCACAAGTTATTCTGTGTCAAAAACCTATTATGTGTCAAATATTACAAATTACAATCCAAATTCAGACCTGTATCAAGCGCGAATATTGTGTCCATTTTTGCTCCAACTGTTCAGGGTTTGACCTCTGCGGTCGTATCCAGCTGCGCTCGGCGAAGCAATTTATTGCCCATTATTCTCTATTCTTTATATTTTAGCACCTCATTATTCTCTATTCTTTATATTTTTGGCCCATTTTTCTCTATTCTTTATATTTTTGGCCCATTATTCTCTTTTCTGTAAACCCCCATCCACACCCTCATACATCCTATCCATGTAAATTTCAAGAAATTTATCAATGAAATATATACTCAGAAGTTCAAGCTACAAAATGATGGGTATGTGTAAAAAACGTGACATTAATTGTGCATGGTGTGGGAATCTATCTAACCTAAAAAATATCAATGTCACTGTAAAAGTAGTATTTAGTTTGTGTTATCTTCCTTTGTCCATAAGGGAACGACCATTTGATTTTAGGGAGAGGGGAGGGGGATTTTGAAAATGGATATCTTGGCCTGGTAAGAGCTGAAATAGATAACCTTATACAAGACAGGATTAAAATTAAT